TGAACAATATATTCCAATACTTGTGATAGTGACTCATTTTAATAATATCCTATTATTATATGTATGGGGGAAAGGGATTGTTAACAATGCAGTTTGACAGCCCCATTGCTAGCAATGTGCCCATTAGGTCGACCACCACGTGGTTTCCCCTGGTAATCATCGTGAACAATTCTTGTTGAATTCGCCACGATGGGCTAACTGACCTGCTCCATCCTCACCTATCATCCTTTACTGGTGCCCCGCCGGTGTATACCGATAGCGCGGGTGGAGTTACCATTCCATTATCATCAATTAAAAAAAAATATTTTATGTACTGTAGTAAATGTTATGGATTTTAATGAAATTTATACCTTTACTTAGAAAATAGGATACTTTATACACCGATTTATAATAATTTCAATTCCATAAATTGCCAATTATTAATCATAAAATATGTCATATCCTATGATAATCGATAACCATATATTATAGGGGGGAAAGGGATTGTTAGTAATGGAGACTAAAAATCCCATTGCTAGCAATATACCTAATCGGGTCGACCTCCACGCGGTTCCCCGTAGAAACTATCATGATTAATTCTTCATGATGAATTCATCGTGATAGGCTAACTGGCCTGTGGCAAAGATGGAAAATTATAATGTACCTCTACAACCAATCAACGTCTCACAACTAGCTGTGGGTCTAACTTTATAAAAAGAGTATTAATTTACGTACAGCATAATATAATCACGGGGGGGAAGGGATTGTTAGTAATAGAAACTGAGAATCCCATTGCTAGCAATATACCCAACCAGATCGACCTCCTCGCGGTTCCTATTGGAAACTATCATGGTTAATTCCTGATTAATTCATCATGATGGCCTGTTTTCATTCTCATCTATCATCCTTCACTGGTGCTCCGCCAGCGTATCCCGTTAGCGCAGGCGGGGCTACATACCATTTTCACCCATCAAAAAAAATATATATATATATATAATCACGGTAGCCAAACACTTTGACATACGATTTTATTTCATTTTGTTTTCTACGCTGTTCTATTGCGCTTTGTTAAGTTAGCTCTCTTTATCTCTCTTTATCTCTTTATCTCTTATTTATTTGTATACTTTATTGCATACGCTGATAATACACACATACACATAATGCGAATTGAAAATATTGTAAAAGACAAAAGGCGAGTTTATATTGTAAAAGTTTTCTTCCAGCAAACTCAAAGTGGCAAGAAGCATCCATGGCTGCGGGTATTTATTATCTTTCGCTCTATAATATCGTAAAAATGAAAAATAGTAGTATATATATATATATTGTATATTCACTCTGTTTACCGTCCAGACAATGATAGATTTTGTTCCACGAAAAAAATACGAACTTCCATAATAGCAAAACCAGTTATTTCGATTAAAAAAAAACTTCTGAATCCTTTTTGATAAAATCTCTATGGAACCAAACTGAAAGTTTTGAATAAAAAAAAATCCCTATAAATTTATAGTTATTTAGAAACTAATAGGGACTTTTTTGACCCGTCCCCGCTTCTTACACAGGTACGATACTATTTGTGTAACTTTTAAGCTATTCAACACATTTTAGTAAGGCTGGTATTTTGGTGTTTTCTTTTTTATACAACTTAGAATGGCAAACAAGCTGACGGCCCACCTGATGGAAAGTGGTAACCGTCGCCTATAGACATGAGCAGTAGCATGGACATAACAGAGTATACTATTTGTGTAACGTTGCCATTCTTGAGGACTCATTGTTATTCCTCTGTAACACATATCCCACCCTTCAAACCGAAACACAGCCATGCAAACACAGCTGCTTCACGGTTGAAACACGAATGGGACAGAGACCCAAGCAATCGGTGTGTGTACAAAATCTCCCTTGGTACAAAAATTATTATAAATACTTACTTTGCCGTATAAACCTGGCATAGAATAGGTTACCCCTTCCTGTCCCATGTATGTCGTAAGTAGCGACTAATATAAGGCGAAGTATGGGCAACAGCGTCCCTCTTAAAACATCTTCAAGGCCTCACTGCGGTTACCAATCCGCCTGCCAAGCGTGGCAACTACTATTACTACATGGCAAATCACCCAAGAGGGAGGCTTACGTTCAGCAGTGGATAGCTAAAAGCTGATATGGTGATGATGATGATGATATACTTACCAAAATAGAAAAAGCTTATAGCACTCAAGGATATAATATACCTTTATAACAATTAAAGAACTTTAAAAATTTTATCAATAGTACCGAAGATTAACTCCAATATCTAAACTCTAAAATATTATGGTAACTATAATAGTATAGTCTTAGATTATATAGAAAGAATGTCTCCGTACAAATGCTACGAGAAAAGCGGGTCTTCTTTTTCATACAATTTCGCGTGATAAATAGTTATGAATGATTCTTTTATAACTTCTATACTTATTTAGTCTTATAATTTCTGCATTTTTTTTTAATGCGTAAATATTAATTTTATTTATTAAATAATAAGTCAAGATACATTGTATGCGTTTATAATAATAAATAAATAAATAATAATAAATAATCTTTATTTCACTCTTTGTTACAATATAGTTTGAAGTCCCTAACTCCCGAGGTAGGTATAAAAAAACCTGTGTTTCAGGAGTTAGTGCCCTCTTCCATATATTGTTGTTTTACATTTTTAGTATAACAAGTTAGTTAGTATAGAATACTGATAAAAAAAGAGTCAGTTAATTTAACAATTAGCTGACTTAAATTTGGCCCATTTTTGAGGTTCGAGGCTCTATCTATATAATTAAGAGTATATAGTTATAATGTAAGTATAAAGTATATAAGAAGAGATGGTGTTCTGAATTGACAAACAAAAAATATAACAGAATTGAGAATCTTCATTTTTGAAGTCGGTTGAAAAAAGGTATTCTTCTCTACAGATAAGAATAGAAGTGTTGTCCTTTCTGTCTGTGTGAACAAAGCCGTTGGGAAAATATAATAAGATGTGCTTATGTATCCACATACTCGTTCGTGTTTCACTGACATGTTCGTTATCTTTTATCGCTTAAGCTACAACTTGTTGCTTTACACAGAAATGTCGATTTAAAATCAGTGCTTTTCTTATAGGTATCCATTTAGACATAGACACGGGATCAATTCTTTTTAAATATGTACATTCATTTATATCATAGATTCGTAGATGATGATAAATTCTAAAACTTAATTAATTCTTTCTACAAAATATCAACCGTTTTCATGTCGGTTCTGATAATTTCTGTAAAATATACTTAACAAACGCATAATACTCAGATGTAAGGTGTGCATGTGATTATTTGCATATTTTTTTTTTTTTGATTCTGTCTTTTTTCTTTTCATCTCTACCCAAAGGTTGTCTGGAAGAGATTGCTTCAGCGATAAGTGTAATGATAAGTAATTTAGATATTTCATAAATGCATATATATATATATATATATATATATATATATATATATATATATATATATATATATATATATATATATATATATATATTGCATTATTCTTTTTAAGTGTTGCTATAAAAAATAAATACATAAGTCATACTAATAATAATGATAATTAATACTACATTCCACTCAAGGTTTGCTGGAAGAGAACTCTTACAGAGTTAAGCTTGTCTGTTATACATCTTCATTTAATATAAACTTTAACTATGTAATTTTTGTGCAACAACAATAAATATTATTAATATTAGTAAGATTATAATCGTAGCTGGTGTTTCTTTTAAAAAAACGATCCAAACCTAATAATTACGGGATGATTTAAAAAGTGGATTCTAGACCTACTTTTTTTAAATTTATTCATTATGTTTTATGGCAATACATAAACGATTTTATTGAGTTCATTGAGATTATTTGACTTAAGAAGATATATAGGTATAATTTTTTGCCTGCAATACTATTATGACTCGATTAATTCTAAACTACTTAGTATATGTACTATTTCATTACCTATTAATATTGAAAGTGTGTTATGAATAAACTGAAATATTTTAAGCCTATTTTATTATCCTATATACTTAAGAAATGGCAGTTCTAATGATGTTGATGGTATATTGAACTCTATTGAAATACAGTTGTGTATAAACAGGTGTAACTGTACAATAATGTATCAACGCTTGGTAAAGCAAAATGGATTAACATAATTAAATTTTGTTTTGTTCTGAGCCGAATGATCTAGATGGTGATGAATGAATGAAGACTGACAAATGAAATTAATTGCGACCTAACCAAATTATAAAATAGACAATCCTTTAAATTTCCACACGTATAAAAAAATCATACAATAAGTGACAGCGAGAAACATTTTATAGCTAAATAGTGAAATGCGATGTAAAAATCATTTAAAGATCAATTAATTTAACAAATTTGAATTTTGAGTAATAAAGGAGTATCATTAATAATAATAATAATTTATTTTCCAGAAACATAGTTGCATAATATAATGTTACAGTTTGTTTTTTAATGTTCATAATGAATCGGTTACTTTATAATCTTAATACAATTAACATGTCATACATTCTAATATTAAATTATTTTAAATTAATCTTTATACTAATATTTGGGTCAATAAATTATATTGCTATTTCATTGCGCTATCACTCATAAAAAAAATATGCAATCTAAATACATAAAAAACTAGTTTCTGTTTCTCTTGTAATTTTTTTTTATTTAAATTTGGAATTATTTTATACTTTTATACGTACGTAACTAGGTGTTTATAGTACAACAATGAAATTTGACTCTACGTATTCAGTAAATTTTAAAATATATTAAAAAATATTTAAAAGATTCTTATTTACTTTTCATAAACACTTAATTCTTATTATCATAAACAGGACAATAATCATATATTATAGCTCCACCAAAATTCCAAAGAGTCACACCACTATTTCTATTTCTTTTCGTTACATTGAATTAACTATTTCCGTCTCTTTTAGCCATGGAAGTCGGCCAGTTATCTGTAAACTTCACTGATATTAGCCGGTTTCTATTATTTATTTTCGTTCTCACACAGTTGCAACCCAGACGTTTGTAAATTCAACGTTGCCGAGTTGGATTTTAAAAATAAATTAGCGCAAATAAATTTCGCGCCCATTTTAACCGCGCATGCGTGTTGTTTTTACAAAAGTCATCGACACGTTGTATACTACACGGCGTTAAGATAAATGCCAAAAAAAACTGCTAATACGTAAATAATAAAACGAAACATGTTAGTAAACAATTAAAAGAAAAAAAGGTGTTCATTTAAAGGCTGATTTTTCATCAAGTTTCACTCATAATGGTTAAACAATATTCAGTTATCGGTTTAGATGCAATCTTGACGGAATTGGGATCATTCGGAAGATACAATTTAGTGAATTATGCTTTTCTTTTATTCCCGGTATTTTTGGCTGGAATATATGGATCTGTTTATGTCTTTGAAGCACCCGATATAAGTTACAGGTGAGTATTAATTTAATGAACATACTATTTTATGAAATGTGTAAATACGTGTGTTTATTGTGTAAGAGGTTATATTGGACTACTAATACAAATACAACATTCGTAATTATCTACGTACTTAATTATATAATATCAATTGAATTATAGTAATCACAGATAGCAAAATTATAACACTTTTGGTGCATTTCAAGGTTATAAAATCGAGGTCTAATCACGCCACTAAATTTTAAAGAGCGCATGCGTAGTTCTTGTAATAAGAGTGCCACAAGGGTCAACATTTTACCCAGTGCTTTTTGTTACTTTTTCCTTTACCCGTGGATGTAATTATTTGTATATATATATTTTTTTTTGTAATAGGCCTTTATTTTTTTAGCACAAGTATTTAATCCATATCGTGCAACGAGGACAGTGAGATTATAACATACGGAGTTAGTATGTAAAGGTTTCAGCGCACAATATTGGCAACACATAAACTGTGTCAAAGGCGTCATTGACGTTCACATTACTAGAACTACTGTAGGTAATAGTTACAACTTTCGATTAGATCTACCATGTAATCGGAAGTTGTAACATGCTTGGTTGCATTCTTAGTTGCATAAAAGATAGAGAGACGGTGTTCTAAACAGAACTAGAAAATACTATTATTATTATTATTGTAAATAAAACAACTGTATCTGTTTTGTAAGTGCTTGTCTTGGAAGAGACTGGCATGTTATATTGCTAAGAGTGGAAAATTTTCCATAAGGCTCTTTTCTATTTATTTTTAGCTCTTACCTATTGTTATTCCCGTGAAACCCCATTCTCTCCAATTTCGATGAGAAATATTATATTAATACTTATAGCAGTAAAAGATTTTTAGACACAATTCTACACAGTGCCTACAATTATGACATACTAGCTGTCTCCTCTAGTTTTGTCCGCGTGAATCAGTATATAAATTATTTTATGTGTTAGGTTAGGATATAATATATCTGTAGTAGGAGTAACAAACACACCTACACACGTCTAAGCATTTAAACAACTTTCAAAAATTTACATTTATAATATTAGCAAGATTAATATTTATTTATTTATTTTATTTAAATATACTTAATTATAATATATATATATATATATATATATATATATATATATATTAGGTATGTGAAAAAAACAATCAAATAGGTAAATCCTACTCAAATAATGTGCTCACCAACAAACTGAATAAAATTTTTATTTATATATATATAACTAGCTTTTACCCGCGACTTCGTCCAAGTTAACAAACAAACAAACTCGCTGTCACTTTTACAATATTAGTAAGGATTAGTAAAGATTACGTAGTGATTTCATTGTTTTGTATTCGGGTGAAGTATTCTCATTTACATAATTTACAATTGTCTTCATGGTCAATTCGTATTCATGACCTTTATCATCAGACATCGAGCAAGCAAAGGCAGGAAATTCCTAACTGTCGTTTTCCTCACTGTTAGCCTATTAACAATTGCTGTGACTAATTTTATAACTGAATCAAATTTAATAGATAACGTTGTTTAAGCTTGTTATATCATTTACTTCGCTCCTATAAGTTAGTGGCTGGATATTCTGCGGGTCTACCATGAAATGAAATTCCGAAATTTCGGACTCAATTTCGTGTTTTTGTTTATACCCAAATCAGACCAATAAATGGAGTTTAACATTTCGTTCGTCATACATCCTATCATAAAAGTCTAAAGGAACAATATTTAAACATTTTTAATATTTCCAAATGCCATGTATTATGTAATTTTAACATCAAATTTGTGTTTCATTTGGTTCCGAAATTTCGAAAAACATTTCATGGTTGGCCTTTTTTTTATATAAAAAACGCCATCTATTATCAAATAGTGAAACTACTGAAACCAAATAAAATATTTATGTAAAAATTCTAAATTTCACTTGAGTGTATCTAAAAATTCATTTAACTTAATATTGATTACCGCGCGTACTACACACGGAGGGAATATTATATACAATCTTACTAATTATATATATAATACTAACGACCCACCTTAGCTTTATATAGGTTGCAATTATTGTATGGATATCAATTTTTAAGCGACTTCAAAAAGTAAGAAATACTTAATTCGGTTGTATTTTTATATTTTTGTTACCTCATTAGTCCATCAGTTTTAAAGCGATTCGAAAAATTCTTCTTCCATCTAAAATGATACACTTTGTCACAGATTAGTACCATAGAAATTGTATTAAAATCGATTCAGTACTTTGATTTTTAGATCTAAATAACTGGTTTTGTCATAACTGAAGTTTTTTTTTTTTTTTGTGGAATACAATCTTTAAATATTTGTAAATAAAATACAACATTTGTTATCCATAATAAAATAGTACTTAAGTATTTTTTGAGTATATCCATTAGATTACTTATGATCTCGCCCAGCTTCGCATGAGTAGATAAAATTTTGGAAAATAATAAGAATATTACTCTCTGATTATGCAGCTTTCTATAAATGAAAGATTTTTTTTTAATCGTTTGTATTGTTTTTAATATTACTTAACTTTATAATATTAGAAATACTTTAGAATGCCGAGGTTTTCCCAAGAGACTACAGCATGGATTCTTCAAAAGGGGGGTAAAGAGGTTTCTTCAGGGTCGGCAACGCGCGCGTAATGCCTCTGGTGTTGCAGGCGTTCATAGGCTACAGTAACCGCTTACCATCAGGTGGGCCGTATGCTTGTTTGCCACCTCAATGGTATAAAAAAAATATTACTTCAATTCATAAAAATTAGATATTTTCATTACTATTCAATATTGATTCAAATACGAAAGGAAATCGTTCAGCTTCATAACTGCCTATTAAAGTTATTTCTTTGGAATCTTTCTGTTTCACCCTAAGTACATTAATATAATGTCATTACAATGACTTACATAAATGCCAGACAACAATATTGTTTTATAACGTGAGAAATCAGACAATGAACATCTGGGATCGTAATGACGAATATTCGAATAAGAAAACTTTGCGGGACGACATTATATTTTTAAATTATTCGAATTAAATTATTTAGGCGAATACTAATAGAATGATAATTTTTTAGATAAATTTTATAAGCGTTTCGTTTATTCAACCGAGTTTCTTATTTTTATCTACCCCAGTTAATTTTTATAAAAAGAATATCACTAAGTTAAGTATGCATCTAATCATAATTGTTACAATAAGTAAATATTTATTCTTGAGAATAATAAAAACGAATTTTTGATCCTTAAGCCTTCAATATATTTATAAAGTTTTGAAGTAGGTTTAGTTTTAAATAATTTTGTTGCAAACATGTGACAAAGTTAAAATAAGTACAAACATAAATACTATTCTAAGTTAAATAAAACAATGTACGCAGCATTGGCGTACGTATTTGTTTATACAAGTATATGTGAAAATAATAAAAAACACATTCGAAAAGTATACTTAATTGAATCACATATACTTGTAATTACTGTTGCATTAAGATTACTAACCCAAGTTAATAAATAAATTAGAGATAGAATTACTAGATAAGTTGTCATCCTACAAACGCCTCAGGCAAATACAGGTTAATTACTTTTTTTTGAAATAGCGTTTAATTATGACTATCTGTATCCCGCGGTATCTTTACCCCGTAAATCAGTGTATAAATTATGCTATATACCAAGTTGGAATTTGTCTATCCATGTACCGAATTTCATTTAAATCCGTTCAGTAGTTTTTGCGCGAAAGAGTAACAAACATCCATTCAACCATCCATCGTTACAAACTTTAGCAGTTATAATATTAATAGAATTTTATTAATAAAAACCCGTCACTGTAAATAATAATTAATGGACTGTAATTATCAATATTATTGCCTTGTGGTCCTGCCATAGAATGGGCCACCTCTTCCTTTCCCATGGATGTCGTAAGAGGCGACTAAGGGAACTTATTGGTCGAAGGATGGCAGCAGCGTCCCTCTAAAAACATCACTAAAGTCAAACTGCGGTTGGCAACCCGCCTGCCACGCGTGGCCACTATTGGCAAACCCTCCCTTATGGGGAAAGCCTATGTACGGCAGGAGACAATAAACAAATGATATAATGATACAATTGTGTGTTGAATATTCAATGTACGTAACTAACCACATATGGAGGAAAGGAATATGTTATTAGTAATGGGGTCTAACGGACCCATTGCCAGTATTACACCCTATCAGGCCGACGTCCAAGCGGTTCCTCCTGGAAACCGTCGTGATTAATTCTTGTGGAATTCGTCACGATGGGCTAACTGACCTGCTTTCATTCTCACCTATCATTCCTCACTAGTGCCCCGCGAGCGTATACCGATAGCGCAGGCGGGGTTACCATTCCATTCTCACCTATCAAATAAAAAACTAACCACATGTAGCGTATAACCACGTATAGAGTATAACTACGTTACTAACTATTCTAAAGACGTTTCTGACTGTTGATGATTCATCCAAATCTAAATAATAAATGTTATGATCTAACCTCTGAACAATAGTCATCCATACATACCATCCAGTTTCAAATTTAATAGAGCTTGTACCATAAGAATTAGACAACTGATCTTCTTTTCATTTAAGAGTTTCCTCATGTCGGTGCAACTAATTCATGCATCTTCCTCCGGCCAGCTCTATCCCAGGCCATATCCTTTACCTCCCTATACGACATGACACCTAGTGTTTCTTTTATCTGTCCCATGTAGTTAGTTATTCCTCGGTCTGATAGACATACAAAAATGTGTACAATTTATTTAAGGAACACCTACATTATAATAATAAAACACCCGGACTAATACAGACAGATATAAATGTTTGTATTAGACGACGATTGTAGGCGAGGCAGTATGTTCTGCCATATGACCAAGGTCGTCCACCTACTAATAATAATTTTAATCATCGATTAATCTATTTCACAGCCTTTTAGACTGTGATATTAGCGCGCAAGGAAATCATATGAAACTGCCTCTTTGCAATCATGTTTGTTAAAGGCTGTAAGGTTGAATTCTCGTCAAAAAACATGACTATCAGCCGATAATTGTCCACTACAATACATTAATCTCCCCCATGAGAATTTTGCCAGTAGTTGCCACGTTTGGCAGAGGAGTTGGCAAGCGTAGTTAGTTCTTAATTTTATTTTGCATACCACTATCTTATCTTAAATTATTTATTTATTATTTAATTTAACATAATCAATTCACGTATCTAAATAGTAGAGCCAATATAAATAATATTTACCATTGAATGTTAAGGTCACAACTGCCACTACCAATCATAGAACGTGACTGATAAATTTAAGTCATACTTAGGTATTTTAGTTTAGAAGCTGTATTATAAGTAAAAAAAAAAAATACAGTATAAAATTCTGTTTTTAAATATCATATATATATATATCATGTCTAGAGGCTACGGTTACCACTTTCCATCAGATGGACCGTCAGCTTATTTGTCATTCTAAGTTGCATATTTTTTTTATGTTCTGATCAATAAATATACGTGTACAATAAGCTATTATCTTAATCTAGTATATTTTCTTCATTATTACGATTTAGCACCTAGATACTTAATTACAAACCACTTCAGTACCATTCAGGCTTTATTAGCAGATTGTTATGGGCCAATTCATAAGAAGAAGCAGATTTATTTCTTTATAATAAACAATAATATAATAGTAATGCTAAATATATGAAGTAAAGAGAAAGACCAACGCCCTTATTCGTAAAAATTATAACTTATTACAAATTTATTTTAGCTGTTGAACTGTTTTGTTGCTTTCTTTCAAATTGAGAATGTAGCATAAAGGAAAGGGACAAGTCAATAAAAATATCCCAGTCACGCGAACAAAGTCGCAGGTAAAAGCTTATTATTTATTATAAAAGGTTCCAGTGTTTTCATTTAAGAGTTTCCTCTTGTCAGTGCAACTAATTTAAACATTCTCTTCCAGCCAGCTCTATCCCAGACCATATCCGTGACCTCTCTATACAACATGACACCTAGTGTTTCTTTTATCTGTCCCATGTAGTTATTTCTCGATCTACCCCTTCCTCTTTTGCCCTCTATTTTCCCTTCTAACTAACAATCACTAGGCCACGAGTAAAGCCAATATAAACGATTCTAATGACATAAGTGCTTGTAAACGAGTGTAAATAAAACATTTTTGATTGATTGTTTGGTTATTGGTATTGATGGCTGACAAAATAAATAAACTTCAATAAAAGGGACAGTTTGAAAGAGCGCAGAGTGCTATTGTAATTTCTCCCTTGATGTGAATATTGAAAGAAAACACATCGATTTTAAGTGGGGATTCAATTAAAATAATGAAACTTTATATTTTGTTTCCAAATTTATCTTTAACGCTTATTCCTTCTTCGATATTGATGCTATAGGACTATGTTATAAGATTACCTAATATTTTTTATTTACATTCATATTTTATACTAAATAATTTTTAGAATTTTTGTGTTTATTACCCAATAAATAAATTGAAAGCGTTTTCGCCGTCGCGTCAAACTTAAAATCAAATAAATATGCTATTTTAAAATGATCTATTTCATTGTTTTTATTTTTACTTCGAAAATCTAAGACTAGCTTTTATACTAGTCTAGATTTTTTCGTAATTATGTTGCCCGTAAGTTTTATAGTGTTTATGTTATAGCTAGATAACGGGTGCAATGACCGCCGGCTTATTTATTATTTCACCATTTACTGTTATTCCCTTTTCTGGCTAAGCTACGTTAAGTGCATTTGTTAAATGAATCTTTGAACAGTCTTTATTCTTGGAAAGGAATTAGTAACAGTATCAGTAAGTTTCTACAACGCGATATTAAGATTTTCTTCAATTTGATGACCCCTTTGCGTTTGCGTTACCTGGGTATCGCTTCTCGGCCTTTTGGCTAAGATCAAAGTGTAGTATCTTTTCTTATCAGCTTAATATCTGAAAGTTCCCTCACTGAGGGACCAGTATATTAAACTGATTTTTGTAAACCGACAGGATGTTCGGGGCTCGCTCCAGTCCCGTCACGAGTCGGCCCGGCATTGCAATGCCGCCGGGATTGGCCCACATAATATTTTATACTACATATTTAACTTATTCTTGCAAATCATTCTTTTTAAACATGTTATTAAGCGTGTCTTTCAGACTTATAGAAATTTTAATTTATATTTTGTCACTGCATTCCTCGTTTACATCAATCACCGATTCCACCTACACCAATTTTAGAATATTTATTCTTTTTTGCAATTACATTCAAAATTGTGACTTGTTATTTTTTCTAATTTTGTTACAATTTTCAAAGTTTGTTTATTTGCTTTTTTTTTGTTACTTTGGTCTGTGCAATCAATTGAAAAATGTTATAAAAGTTAAATAAAAGAATGGCGAAGCCGGACAGGCATTTGATGTTTCATACATTATAGAATGTACAAATGGTTTTTTACTAGTTCCATCGACGATCAAAGCCTCCATTTTTTTACGAGACAAAAAACTTGAAAATAGTTAATGTACATAAAAATTTATACAATAATTCAGTGGCCTGACATTTAAATATAGACTAAACTAAATATAGATTAACTGTTATACTCAAACTTTATTATACCAATCAAGTAAAGGTACAGTTGTTATTTACCACGGCCCGCTTATCACTTGCACCCTGCTATCAGGAACACCCGGTCTGACCCCGGGCGATCAATCATGGGCAGTCATCAAGCGACTGGTATTAATTATATTACGTACCAATTATATCAATAATATTACTATTTTTCTTTACTAACTATTGTAATATTTGGCATTTTTTAAATGCTCCAATGAAATTAGAGTTTTATCCTTTCTTTATATTTACGAGCACTCTCTCTCTAATATTAACTGATAGAATATTAACTAACTAATACTATAATCATTGTGATCATATCAGCCATTAACTTTTACCAGTAATTGCCACGTTTGGCAGGCGGGTAAGCAACCGCAGTTAGGTTTTGAGGATATATTGAGAAGGACGCTGCTGGCCATCCCGCGATCATTAAATTCTCTTAATCACCTCTTACGACACCCACAGGAAAGGAAGGGGTGGCCCATTCTATACTGGGACCACACGGCACTTTACTAGACATATATGGCTATAATTTTCAAATACCAGAGGGAGACTTTGTACAGAAGTCTTTTGCTTGAGCACCTCTGTCCCATTCGTGTTTCTACCGTAAAGCAGTTGTTTGCATGGTTGAGTTTCGGTTTGAAAGGTGGGATATGGCAGTGAATTTATAGGGTACAGAGGAATAACACCTGAGTCGTCAGGAATGGCAACCATGGTTGCCATCATCATATCATGTATATATACATATAAAAGCGACTTATTTGCTTTACAAAATACGGATTACATCTGCAGAATAGTTAATTATATATTCTGAGTCTCAGGAATGCAGAATAGCAGGGTGTTATAGGCGACAGTTACCACTTTCCATCAGTCAATATTATAAAAAAATTAACTTTGTTACCATTGAAGTATGATTATCGCGACGCGACTCTTTGATTAATCCCACTATTTCTTGTTTCAGATGTCAAATCAACGAATGTGAAAATAAAGGAAATGATACATCATGGCTTGCGTACGCCATACCGAAAGTGAAGGATGAATATTCGAAGTGCGAAAGATACCCATTACGTGACAATGTAACGTGGAGTAACGCGACGTGTACGGACAGTGTATTCGATGCCTCGAAAACAGAAGAGTGCTCTTCGTACATTTATAGCGACGAAGATTCGGTCGTGAAAGATGTAAGTAGACGAACCTATTATAATTTATGGTCACACCGATATATATATTAGGATGTCCCTTATTTTTCAAACTTTTAATTTTTTAACGCATACGTATTAATTTTGTTCGTATGTTCCTCAAACACTCGGAAATACATTTTTACCTCATTTGGAGAACGATAACCTGTGCCGACTTGCATCGAAACAAATATTATATATACATATCATCACCATATCAGACATCATCTGTCCATTATTAGACTTAAGCGTCCTCCATAAGAGGGGCTTTGTCAGTAATTGCCATGCTTAGCGGGTTAGCAACCGCAGGTTTTTTTTTATAGGTGAAAATGGTATGGTAACCCCACCTGCGATAACGGGATACGCTGGCGGAGCACCAGTGAAGGTTGATAGATGAGAATGAAAACAGGTCAGTTAGCCCGTCATGATGAATTCATCAGGAATTAACCATGATAGTTTTACAGGGAGAACCGTGAGAAGGTCGACCTGGTTGGGTATATTGCTAGCAATGGGATTCTCAGTCTCCATTACTAACAATCCCTTTCCCCCCTGGTAACCGTAGTTATACTTTTAACAGGGATGCTTCTGCCCAACCCGTGATCATTAAGTTCTCTTAATCACCTCTTGCGACACTCACGGGAAAGGAAAGGGTAGTCCATTCTATACTAGAACCATATAACAATATGTACAAGTATATATACTTTATTGCACTTATAATTTACATAGATAAGACAGTTATAAATATTGTGAGCAAGTGTGGACTTATCTCTGAAAAAGATCTCTTCCAACGAACCCAATGAGAAAACAAAATTAGCGGGCAACTAAATCGCACGAGTGCTGTACAAATGAAATTAATTGATATCTGCTTTATCAAAAGGTACCTTAGATTGAGGATCAGGAGATGAGTGTGATTATATGATGCTTGTTATTTTTATTAAAATCCTTAATTATTATAAACTAATTAATCTGACAAACATTGTCTTGTTCAAATGTCAAGATGCCTTGTGAGATTAACATTTACGTGGTCTCTCTGGAAAGTATCATGGTTATTTTGAACCGCTGATGATGAAGTTGGATCAATCGTCCACCGATACAACGCCATTGAATATCATCAACATAGATGAATACTCCATCCTATCTTCATCTGTAAAAAAATCTTTTCAGTAATCGATAAATAATTGTACTAGCCACATAATCGCTTAATACGCAAAAAAAAATACTACAGTAATTACTTTCATATCACAGTATTACTTTAAATTACGATTTGTTGACTCGATTAAATAAAAAAAAAAAAACCTATTATTAAAACTATTTTCTTGAGTTTTATCGTAAGTACATTGTGCCTCGTGAAACACGCGAACGATAAATATAAAAAATTTATAATAAAACATTAAAAATGATATGTTTTCATGTGTTGATAATAGCTAATTCAATAAGGCACGAGACATAAGTGATTGGCCGATAAGCGGAATTCTGTACAAGCAGGTGATTGACCGATAAGTAGGGTTGCCAACCACTCAAGAAATAGAAGACTTTATAAAGATGTACTTTGTAACCGTAAGTAGTAAACTTTGTACGTTTACTATATGTAAATCCATTAGTATAAGACAATTGAGATCAATCACAACACAAAATAATTATTGTTAATTACACAGAAACCTACTTCAGTCGCGAAATCCGTACGAAATTAGCAAGACCGATGCGAGAAAATATTGTTAATTGTAAATAAAAACACAAGTAAATATGTACTAAACTGATAAGGATTATGATGTGCATACATAAAAAATACAATAGAATGTTTCAATACAATATTTCTTTCGTTTTTTATTTACTTTTTTTCTATAATCTATTTATTTGTTTTAAAAAGGTTAGCAACCCTACCGATAAACTGTATCACGCGATATTTTCGTCTGCAAACCACGCTACATGACGTAGCCAGCATCACGTACCCATATATACACCTATCACTATAATATGTCAATTTTATCTTTTCAACAGACTTCAACTTTATTTAATTCAATTTATGGAAACCAAAAAAGAAATATGAATACAATTAAAGAAGATACAATAATTTAATATTATGATTTGTAAATAAAACAGCGACATAAATTTAAAATTATTATGGGATGATACGAAATCAAACCCTATTATTTTTAAAAAGAAATATCATAATTTATACATACATACATATCTGTCATGCCTGTCTCCCATTAGGGTAGGCAGAAACAATGGAACGCCAAATGCTTCGATTCAAACAAACCTCTTTCGCTTCTTCCACATTCATCAATCTTTTCATACATGCTCGCCGGTTACGGATACTTTTAATTTGGGTACTTATAATTTATTACCACAGATAATGTAATACTATATGCACACTAGCTATAACTATCGCCTTTTACTATCGCACCGCTCGCCATCAGCAGGAAATCCATCCTTAGAACCAAAATGGTCACGCACAGTGCGGTTTCAGAGGAGATTCCTCCTGCGAACACTTAGATTTCGGAATGATCTTCCCGCAGAGGTTTTACCTAGAAACTACAGCATGGGGTTCTTCAAAAAGAACGTAATAAGGTTTCTTAAGAATCAGCAACGTGCGCGTGAAATTCCTGATAGTGCAATATCGTCATAGTATTATAAAAAGATTTAAGTTTGTATACCTACAAATAACACTGTACTAGTGGTATAGCGTAATCTAATCAGAAACATAGACCTAGTACAACATCAGGTACTTGACTAGACTGTAAATGCATTCACGTAGACAAAACAAAAAATCGGTTACACTACTTGTAGTGTGTGCGTGTAATATAAATGTGTGCATGTGACAACGCTGAATAAGAAATTGATGTTGCAATAATTTACAACTGATTTTTGATAACATTTCTGACCAATTGTGGTTAACCCCCCATTCAGGGGGAAAGGGATTGTTAGTAATGGAGACTGAGAATCCCATTGCTAGCAATATACCCAACCAGGTCGACCTCCTCGCGGTTCTCCCTGGAAACTATCATGGTTAATTCCTGATGAATTCATCATGATGGGCTAACTGACCTGTTTTCATTCTCATCTATCACCCTTCACTGGTGCTCCGCCAGCGTATCCCATTAGCGCAGGCGGGTTTACCATTCCATTTTCACCCATCAAAAAATAAACCTCCCCCTTCAATACCCCTATCAAGAATTGTATGAAAAAAGATAATGATTGTTTATGATGTGAGAATTGATATGACTGAATTGCAATGAGAATGTCTAGAAGACAAAAAGAAATACAAATATCAAACTACAAAATAAGTTTCAAATAAAGGGTAAAGATACGAGTAATTTCAGGATGATTCACACTAAGATAAATGCAAAGACAAAATTGTTGATTACATTATTATTGCTTGTAACGAATTTCACATGTCATAAATAGCCTTTGTAATTTGTTTTTAAATTTAAATTTAAAGAGTTAAAGTTATAATTAATATATTAAGAATATTAAATGTATACGTATACTAAATAAATTATTAGTATGGCCGCTGGAAAAGCAAAGTACATAAAGCGATATTTAGTAAATTTTACAAAAAACTTGCTATTATGTAAAATTTACAATTTTTGCTTTTTTGTTAATTTTACAAAAAAGCAAATTTTTTGTCAATTTTACAAACGAAACGAAACTAAAGACGAATTATTAACAAAATATAGTAAAAGTCTGAATCAATAAAGTTGTTAATATCTTTGTAAAAAATAGATGGCGACCAAAAATTGTAAAGCGTAATTCAAAGAGACTTTTGTAGATGGCAATTTTGCGACTTAACTAAAGTGCTACCAACTTGCTTGAATTATTTTAATTAAATAATACCTTTCGATAGAGAAAAAAAAATTTCGATCATATATATATATATATATATATATATATTAAGCTCTACCTATATATATATATATATATATATATATATATATATATATATATATATATATATATATATATACGGTAGAGAATCATGGTATTAATTTTGCCACTTGTACAAAGTTTTGTTGTGAAATAAAAAATAAATATATTAGTAAAATAAAACTTTTACGATTTTATTTTATGTTTCGGATACAATTTTTTATTTTATACTAGATAAAATTTAAAATTGTATCCGAAACATCAAATAAATATCTATGAACCCGAAATTACTTAAAATATCAACATTATAGATCAATTCCCCTTAGAATTATTAGTAAAACTATTACAAACAGCAGTTGTAAAACAGATAACAAGGAGATAATTTCAATGCCACTTAAGTACACAAAGATAAGACATCATAATGATGAAATCTTTGTCAACTGCCTCGACACTATATATTTCGAAATTAGGTCCTCTAAGATAAAGCGTTTAATACTATATACAATTCTAAGTAAATAAAAGCCTGATTACTATAAAAGAGTTAGAGGCTATTAAGAAAAACTACAAACACTTAAACAATACTATTACGATCTCAAATGCCAGCAATGAGTCACGGAATCGAAACATAGTCTTACACATTTAGTCGTATGAAGAAGTTTCTAGTTGCTCAGCGAGCTATAGAAAGGGCAGTGTTCGCAGTTTCGCTGCGTGATAGAATTCAAAATGAGGATAATATCCGTAAAGTAACCATAGCAAAATAATTATAATATGACCTTGCAACTGAGAAACAAAGATCGACGTTTACAATTCATTTTGTTGTATATTCTATTACGTATTTACTTAACACAAGACAGAAATAAAGAATAAAATGTAATAAAACTAACTAGGCAGATTTAATAAAGAGATTAATAAATATCTCTATATTATATACTTGGAAGTCAAATAAATATGATTGATATAAAATTAAAAGATATTTAAAGGAAAAGATAGAAAGAGGTATCTCAGAGCATATTATTTGCTCTGAGATACCTCTAACAAAATCTAGTCGCAACGTCATTATCGTCCTTTCACTCGTCGACCAATCACATTGATATCTTGTGTCTCTTTCACTCATCACACTTAATCTTATTTCATTTCTGTCATTCGTCTTCTAGACACATGCAACCATATTCAAATAAATACATTTTAATATTTAAGTTTTTTGGAGTCTCTAACAATTAAACTAACCTGAAATATATAAGTGGAATATCTAATGACATTGCCTCTAAATAACAGCTAATGAACTTTTCTATTTATATTTACTACACTTATATACTTTTACTATATTTTGCATTTTTATCGTATTATAAACAAATATAATACCCTATAAATATTTAATAACATCAAATATTGTTCATAAAATAGTTGACCTTGTCATTATCATTTTAATAATGTATACTGAAGATTGTTGATATTTGTTAGAATTTGGAATTCGTCCTTATTGATGAAAGCTAAAAATATTACTTTCTCAGATACAATGAAAAAACCATGCGAAAGGAGAATTTTTCTTGTAAATATTTTAATAATATCGAGTACAAAGAGAGTCCACATTATTATTCAATATCAATAAAAAAAAGTATTTAATAATTAATATCAGATAATACGTTGGTTATAACTTAACTACTCGTAGATAAAACGGAAAACACATCATTATAAATCATAATTATTTACAATCGTATTTTATCAGTATCTCTCTGCAAACTGCTTATTTGCATGTTTATTAATATTAAAAATTTAATCTACATGGATCTTATTGTATTTTTTTTTTGTTACAGTTTAACTTAGGTTGTCAAAATTGGAAAAGGGCGTTAGTAGGCACGATTCACAATGTTGCACTATTTGTCTCTTTGCCTCTAACCGGTATAGTATCAGATCGATATGGTAGAAAGTTGGCGTTAGCCGTAGCATCACTTTTTAATGGCCTCATGGGACTATTCAGATCATTTTCATCGAACTACGAGATGCTTTTGGTGTTTGAATTTCTAGAACCAGCTTTAGGAGCTGGCGCGTATAGTACTGCCTTTGTATTAGGTAAGTTGATATCAAAACTTGCTTTGGAAGCAACAGATCATTGACTCGTTGCAACAAGTTCTTTAGATTGTGCCAAATTTTTAATTGATCCTTAATAATAATTTGTAATATATTTTTTACGTAACCTTGAATGGCAAACAAGTTAACAACTCACCTTATGCAAAATAATATCCGTCGTCTATATTAACGCGAGCATTTTCATTCCTGAAGATTAAGGAATAATAATTTGCCATTTATCTGATCGCCCTACAAACATACATAATTCTAGGGGGTAAAAATATGTTATGAATTATATTTTGATGTCAATGATACTAATGCGGACAACTATTGTATAAAGTTTCGCTGTCTCTCTGGTAAAACTTGTAATATGACATTATCTTTATATACTTACTTGACCGGATTTGCCTTAAGATATTTGAGACCTTTAAGAATTCATAAAGCGAAACCAGTCAGGCATTTGAAATATTAATCATAAAAATAAAATAATGCAATATTAAACTTTAATCTAGTTGTATGGATTCAATTCAAACATTTCCACTTCAATGTATAGTTTAAGTATAAAAAATACAATTACCTTATTAACTTTATAATTGAAAACACTTTCATATATTTTATCATACATATAGTCTGACCGATTTGGCCATTATTTTATCAGGAAATATGTTTTACCTTTATTCGATCACTAATAATAATCTCGTGAATAAAGTCTTATATTTTATATGTTTCATGTTGTTTTAGCTATGGAACTGGTCGGCCCTAAAGGCAGAGTATTTGGAAATACACTGATAAATATAGTTTATGTTTTTGGCCTTATAACCTTAGCTGCTCTGGCCTGGTGGTTACAGAACTGGCGACATTTACTTCAAGTCATTTACACACCAGCTCTACTAATTTTCTCATACCTCTGGATTCTGAACGAAAGCGTCCGATGGTTACTCAGCAAAGGCAAAAATGAGAAAGCCGTTGAAATTCTGAATAAAGCAGCTAAAATGAACAAAGTGGTATTATCTGAAGAACTTCTAGCACCAATATATGAGCTTGAGAAGATTCCAGCGTATCACGATAATGAAAAAGAAAGTTTAAGTCATACTAATAAGAAAGATGTGCAATCATCAATTTTGACGCAAGTGATTAAATCGAGTATTATAAGGAAAAGACTTGCTGTGTGTTCGTTTCTGTGGATAACGTGCACGTTTGTTTATTATGGACTTTCAATTAATTCAGTGTCGCTAGCTGGTAACAAATACGTTAACTTCATGCTGGTAGCTTTTGTTGAGATACCAGCAAATTTTGTATGCCTATTAGTGTTAGATAGATATGGAAGAAAAAAAACATTGATATTAACTTATGTGCTCAGCGCTTGCCTTTGCATCAGTTTATCATTTTTGCCTAAAGGTAAGTTACATAGACAATCTTATATAAAGTAATCTATTAATTTCTTTAATTAAAAGCAAAAATAAAGATAATTAAAATACAGTACAGTAGTAGAAAAAAGATTTATTCTTATGAAATCTATTATGCTAAATACTAAAGATTGTAGAACAAAAGATACAGGATCTTATCCTGTACATTTTGATCATGTGCCACTTTGAAAATATATATTATAACAAACTAACAGCAGTACCTATAGATCCTCTTCTTATCAGTATTATAAAAAACGCCCTATTGTCTAAGGCGACATTATCCATTCTAACAGATGTTGTATCGGCATTTAACTGTTCGCTGCTTAACATAGCCTCCCCCATAAAGGTAGTTTTGCCATTAGTTTCTACGCTTGGCAGGTAGATTAGCAACTACAGTTTGATGTTTTTAGAGGAACACTGCTAACATGAATATAAGGGGTGATCTATTCTATACAGGGACCTACACGGCGGATGTCGGTGATCCAAATAGATGTATGAGATATAAATATTTTAAATCGGTACATTTTATTTGTTTTAATTTTATAATGAAGTCACTGTTTATTTTTTTCAAGCAAAATCTTTATTCCTATCGTTCGTTTATAGAACCGTAAAGTCATGTTATCATTTCCCTAAACAGTTAAAATTTACATACCTGTAATTTTATTCAAGCCTCTTTCAAATACTCTCAAGATTCACTGAACGGCATTTCTGATCCGTATAAATCCGCCTAACTTCTCAGTATCTCTCTTATGTATATTTCTAGTTTCTGTGTATATAATATAAAATAAATACTTTTAAGCAAACAAACAAACAAACTCTTGGAATCAAATCAAAGGAACCAGGCTTTAAGTCTTATAACAAAAGCCATCTCATCTAATCTCACATCCAAACATAATTTGACGTCAACAAAAGGCAAGTTGATAATCCGAAAACAATTTACGCTGACTTGTAGACATTGAGTTTGGAAGAAAGCAACACCGCTGTTTATTTAGTGATCATTGTTTGTCCAACAGACTGAATTAATGGAATATTTAAGTTAAGCCGATTTCGCGGTACTTGTCCTGTTTCAATCCGGCTTGGCTAATCTATAAGATTATAGCGCTATGGCGAATTGGTGATATATTGGGATGCGTTTATCTGTTATAAATAAAGACACGATCTCATTTCGATGTTAAATTTTTTTAATAGCCATAGACTATAATGCCTGGCATTATCTTATTCTTATCTGAAAGTGGAGTTCCAAAATAAGATACCTTTGCCATTACAAAAGTAATATCGTAGTGTACGGACACCGTTAAGCGGCGGAAATTTCGTTTGTCCCTATTTTCTAATAACGAAGATGAAGCGATTACAATATTAAAGAAGGTACGTGCACTTACTTGAAGGAATCTCATACGCCACACCGCTTTTCACCTTGTCTTGATTGGATCTATTATAGATGCTTGTTTGGTAGGTTTACACAAATATCTTTAAAATATTCACAATATTTGAATCTTTGATATAAAGAAGATCTTCTAGTTCACTGTACGATTATGTGGTCTTAATTCGCGACGATACGTGATCTCAAGTCGACTGCAAGGGCGAGTTCACTAACTGCCCTCCAACTTAATTATAATGTAATCGCTTCATATCCGCGAGATGCGTGGACATTCGATTAAGAAGCGGTAAATTGATCGATTGAAGCATCGTTTGGGACAATACACGTAGTCTAAAATTAGGAATGCCTGAAGGATGTTATATTATGTGTAATGTTTACTGGAACAACCATGATGTTGTTGTATATTTCTGTCTATTTAAAATAGTTACCACTTACTATAAGACCCATTTGTTCATTCGTAATAATAAAATTCTGCGACTTCAAAGAAAATGGAGTCTCAGAATTTTAAGAAAAGATCTGTCCTTAACGTCTAACGGTCTTTATCCAAATTAAAATAATATTAATATTGACAATAAGGAAATAAAATTTTAATAACAAATTTTTTTGAATATTCTACCTATCTGTCACCCTGCTAAACGAGTTTTCCCTATATTTTGCCACAGTGTAAGACTCTTCTTGGCACCCTGAGCTACCTGCATTTTTCAACGAATCAATGCAAATGCTCCAAACACAGAGCTTCGCATTTTTAGCAGCTCACTGAGAAAATCCTCATATGAACCTCAAAAACATATGTCAATGCCGTATATTTATCACTGGCAATATATTAAACTTGTATTTTAAACTTTATATTTACAAACAGAGCAAAGATTTTTCTTAGAAACAATTAGATATGTCGCCTAACCGTACGTCCTCTTTTAAACGAACAAGAAGCTAATATATACGGATAACATTACAAATAAACATTAATGCTATTTCTGCCATATTAGACCGATATCTAGAGACATTGAACAAATAAGGAAATACTTGATAAGTTAACGTCAACAAATTATATAGCTGAGAAGTCTCTAGCAAACGTGGAAAAGTATCGCCTTAAACAAGATTTAAAGTTGTTTATTTTCTAATAGTCTGAGATCTCGCCATTGACTTTTACAGGCTTTTTAATGAGCCTTTGTTTAATTAAAAGATGAGCTAAACTATAATACAATGCACTCGAATTGTCTAACGACAATAGGTCGCGATCGCTTTTAATTAAGAACGGCATAATCAATTTAGGTAACAAATTGCATATGATGAATTAAACAGCATTGGAAACGCGATGGAGATCACAAAAAAGAAAACAAATTATATCTGCTTATTATTAGCTGCAACATAAGATAGCAATAGGTGAAAATAGTTTTTTTTTTTTTATAACACGGAGGCAAACGAGAATGTGGATCACCTAAGTAAGTGAGAACCGCCAGCCATGATCACCCACAACACCAGAGGCATCGCAGGTGTACTGCCGGTCTTTTAAAAAGGAATATGTTCTTTTCTTGAAGGTTATGGTTAGATAATTTTGGTAAATTATTATAGTTTTTAATAAGATTTACACTAAATGGAAATATATTCTTTTCCAATACAGGATAACAGAAGGTTATTAGGTTATATTATATTTACAATTTTGTGCACAATTCATCGCCAAAAATTCATTATGCTATAATTAATCCAAGTTAATGACGGCCATTTGTCATTAGGCAACCCAGGTGCATTGTACATTTTCCTCTGTCTTGCTTTCAAACCAAGTTCCAATACCTGCAGAAGTCAACAGCGGGATCTTAAGCTATACTTATAAACTGATCGTATAGCTTTAATAAATGTTTTTTTCTTGCAGATCAAAAATGGTGGTCGCTAATCCTGTACCTCGCGGGCAAGTTTTCTATAACGGTGTCGTACAGTTCTGTCTACGTTTACGTATCGGAGGTGTTCCCGACCAGTGTGAGACAGTCATTATTAGCAATTTGCTCATCGACGGGAAGAATTGGTTCAGCTTTGGCGCCACAGACGCCGCTTCTGGTAAATTTTGCTGGTTATTAAGCAAACAATTATTCGCATTAGAAAACTTGTCATTTAAATTATTTGCTACATGTCCTACTCGGGTTTCTGCTATAAAACAGCTGTATTTACATAGCTTCTTTATATTGCCGTGTAGTCTCAGCATAGAATGATCGAGGGATGGGCAGCAGCATCCCTGTTACAACATCATCAAACCCTAATGTCCAGCAGTGGACAGTTAATGGCTGATATGATGATGATAATTTACATGGCTGTGATTGATGTGGTTTAAAGAGTAGGATATGTAATATAGTAGATAAGTCATTGTACCCTTATTCTCAGGAACGGTAATGATTAAGTACTACAATGAGCGTCACGGAGTATTCTGTTATGTCCGTGGTGCTGTTCATGTCTGTAGGCAACGAATACTACTTTGCATCATGTTATCTGTTTATCTGTTTATATAACTTGTTTGCCAATTTGTGTTATATAAAAAAAAATATTTTTGACACAATTTTCAAAGAACACAAATAAGAAAAAGAAGAAGAGAAATAAATACAAAATTATACCAATTATAACAATTGAGGTATTTTTTTTTTCGAATAGATATACTTATTCTGTTAACGATAGAGATTGTTGACACAAAAAAAAATATTAAGTAATAAATAAAGTAATTTTTTTTTCCATAGGCACAGTACTATGACAACTTGCCATCGATATTCTTCGGGAGCATTTCATTAGTGGCCAGTATTTTAGTGTTCACCCTACCAGAGACAATTAACGTACCTTTACCTGACACCATAGAGGAAGCAGAACTATTATCAAGAAAAAAGGAACTGAAGAATCCTTAGAAGAACCAACCATAAAATAGGATGGATCTTATATTTTAAAAACTCTCCAGTACAAAAATTTGTCAATGAATTTCCAAAACTATGGGTGATATATTTTTAAAGATGTTTCTAAAATGTATTATGCCAGTAAATACTGTAATATAAAAAGATCTAGTAGCAAATACGTTTGAAAAAAAACAATTTCCTTCAATCTGCTTTAATTTTCAGTGCAAAATATAATCGTAGTCATTTTTTTTTTGCATTTATTAAAGTGCTATGCTGCTAAATTCACAAAAGTGCTAAATAACTATCATACTTGTGAAAATAGAAGTGTAGATCCTGGCATAGAATGGGCCACCACTTCCTTTCCCGTGAGTGTCGTAAGAGGCGACTAAGGGAACTTAATAATCGAGAAATAAAAAAAAGCCTAACTGCGGTTGCCAACCCGTCTACCAAGGGTGACATCTATTGGCAACATCCCAAGAGGAGGCCTGTTTCAGCAGTGGAGAGTTAACGCCTGAAATGATGATGAAGGGAGAGTTGATAATTTTGTTATTTTGCTTTAAAATTCATACACCTGGATTGTACAATTTATTGAGATTAATTTAAAAATAAAAATTGTAGGTATGATTTTTATTTTACACTTTATTTACACAACACGACACATGATGTGAAATGAAAATCGTAAAAAATAACCGAAAACACATTTAGCACAAAATATCTACTTTATAAATATTTTTTCTCAATTTTCCTATAATTCTTAATTTTTTCTTATTTATTTCAGATACTGTTTTTTCTATATCATGAAGGTAGCAAACAAGCATACAGCCCGTCTGATGGTAAACGGTCACTGTAGCCAATGGACGCCTGCAATACTAGGGGTGTCACACACATGTTGCCAACCCTGAAGAAACCTTAGTACACCTTTTTTGAAAAACAAAAAAAAAATTGTGCAATTATTTGACTCAAAACGGTACATCTCTTTTCTATATCTACTTATATTTTATACACAGTAATCGATTAAAGGCAGTATTTCAAGAGTATGTATCAAAATAAAATAAAATTAATTACATTTTGTGATGCATGTATATTATGTCTAAATCTACTTTTACAAGCTGTGCTGAAGTCTATTTGTCTATTTTTTCTGTCTTTTTTTTTTTTGTAAATTAAAAGTAACCATATTTTATAGTAAACCTGGCCATATTAATATAATTTGATCATTCCAATTTTTATTAATTAAGTAAGAATTGTTTTTAGACATAGTTATTTGGATAAGTTATGTTTTATAAATGTTATTTTACATAAGTATGTAGATGTAATATTTTTTGTTAATATTAATTAATATTTTTAAGTTATATTTTGTTCATATTCGCTCAAACTTACCGAATTTGTTCTAAATAGTGATTAATTTCATCATTTGGTCTTATTACAAGATATACATAACTACGAAACTGGTAAATTTTTTACTTAATAAAACAAAAAGGATATGCAATTTCAGAAATGAAATAATTACCAAAGTAAATATCCATACTTTATTTTAATGTAAAAATACATTTCTTTTATTGTTTTTTTTTAGAATAATATTATTTAGGGTAATTACAAATTACTCTTTGGATAAATAGAAGTATTTTATGAGTACATTGGTTTGGTACATATAAAAAAATCCAAGTATTACACTTCCATACAATAGGTATAATTAAAATTATACTAAAATTAATTAAAGAAATAAACACTTCTCATACAACAAGGGAAGAATAAAATGTAATACTTAATGAATTTCCATAATGAGCAATTTTTTTTTTTTATTTTATAACAATATTTACGATGGTTTGAATACAAACGTCGTTTTATTAGAAATGGATTCAATATGCTCAAAAAAAGTGTTATATTTTCAATGCCTTTTTTAGTCTGTTGTTATGTTTTACATTTTTATATCAATATTTCTTTTTTCGTCAAAAGAACTTGTATCCAATGCCTTGTAGAATTATTGTATTATATATTTATTGCTAAATTATGCTTTGCGATGGCGAAAAATTCTTTTAATGTCCTTTCTTTTATATAATTAAAATAGTGTTAATTTTTAAAGATAGATAATAAGTACGCTGTGTTCTTATCATTGCCAAATATTACGTGTATGCCAAATTATTAACTCGCCAAACGCTATTAAACTTAAAGGCTTCCATACAAATATACAAATCACTTTCATATAATATTTGTTAGAATTTTATTCATGTTACGTAAAAAATTTGCCATACACACTAAGTTGTTTTCTTTTACAGTACTTTTTATTATACTTTAACTTATTTACTAGTTCACTTTACTTCCAATCCACGAGACCCTTTCTTCAGGATTTTACTGACCCCAACTAGTACTAATTACTGGCCAAATTGGCAGGCAGAAACCAGGTCCGTAGTTGGGCAGCAATTTTGCCTGTCGAATTACGACAACTGAATTTAGGGTTTCTATTAGTTTATATAGGTATAAAACTGCTAATTTGAATTTAAATAAGTGATACTGCAATTGGGTAATAATATGCTAGGGTTTTTTTTATACAACTTAGAATGGCAAACAAGCTGACGGCCCACCTGATGGAAAGTGGCCGCCGCGTATAGACATAACATAGTACCATGGACATAACATAGTATACTGTTTCGCCCATGATACCCCCCATGCGTTGCCATTCCTGAGGACTCAGATGTTATTCCTCTATACCCTGTAACTTCACGCCATATCCCACCCTTCAAACCGAAACACAGCCATGCAAACACAACTGCTTCACGGTAGAAACACGAATGCGACAGAGGTACCCAAGCAATCGACTTTTGTACAAAGTCTCCCTCTGGTTGTAACAGTTTGTGTAAAATTTTATATAAAATAACCAGTCTTTCATTATGTAACTATTAAAACGCATTTTATGTATATAACTGTGCCAACTACTCTGTGTGTTGTATTTTTTTTTTTGCAACATGAATGAATTTTATTAAAATGATTTTGATATCGATTTTAGAACTGATATTTTATTATTATTTCCTAATACAACCTGCTGCACATTTTTTTTTTAAGATTAGGCAAAAAAAAACTAAAAATTATCAATTATTTTGTCCAATCTTTATGAAATCATTACTTTCACATCATTTGGAAATTTAGGTGTACGAGTATGTTGACTCGACGAATTTACCAGGAATTAAAGATGATGGTTTCCAGTTAGAACGTCGAGTTTACAAAGTATATTTCCAGTAACGCAATCGCTAATCTCCCTTAATAGTAATCCTTTTCAAGATCTGAAAAAAATAAGATTGTTTCAAAAAAAATTACTTTAATTGTGGCAAATCCAGTTATGTTGATTTAAAAACTAAATTACAGAACCAATTTTCTTACAATTACAGAATAAAATTTCTATACGACCAATCTGTATATACTTCCAGATAAAAAAGTATTTACCAAATCGATTTACAGTCTGTGAAATACAAAATAAACTTTTTTAGAGATGATTGTAGAATGATGACCTCGTTTGCGCTATCATACACGCTGTTTAGGGAAACTGTTAGACAGCTTTTCCCAAAGTGGGCATAATGAGTTCCTACAAACCACAATGATAGGGAAGCAAAGGAATTTTTAGCAATGGGGTCTAACTGATCCATTGCTAGCAATGCACCCTATCAGGTTGAACTCCACGCGGTTTCCCCTGGAAACCATCGTGGTTAATTCTAGTGGAATTCGTCACGATGGGCTAACTGGTCTTCGTATGTATTATAATTATAGGATTTGTTTTCACGCCAGATCTGATATGTGTAATTACGAAATACTTTAACTTCATTCAATTTAATATATATATTTATTTCAATTTCTCCCTTTTTTTTTATTTCACTTCAGTTCGAGTATTTTTAATCTTCGCTAACTTTTTGCACGTTACTTTGTACGCGTACTCGTACTCTGAAATTGTTCAGAAGTAAAAATATGAATTAAATAAACCACTTGGCATATCAAAATACAACATACACCAGTTTTAAGTTAGACTGTCAGGAATACAACAGCGAAAACTGCATTCAATTTGGTGTTATAGTTTTTGTGCGATACCGCGACAAAGATACAAATAAAAGAGACAAAGACAAACAATATTTCTAAATAAAACTGTTTTCTTCTATTTCTCCTGTTAATTATTAGACATTATCTAATTACAAGAAATAAGACGTAATTTGCAATTGTTTAAACGCCTGATCAAAACGAATCAGCAATGTTGTGGTTTCCAAGTATAATATATACGAGTAAGTGAAAATAACAAATGGGCGATATGTCTTCTTATAATGGAATAAAAATCAAATAAAAAATGGTAACCTCGTCTGCGCAGACAGGGTTTTTTTATTATTTCAGCCGTTAACTGTTCACTGCTGGACATAAGCCGTCCCCAAAAGGGAAGTATTGCCAGTAGTTGCCAAGCTTGGCAGGCGAGATGGCAACCGCAGTTAGGTTTTTAAAGATGTTTTAAGACAGACAGGGTTGCCATTATATATTTATTAGTATTGGTATATGCTGGCGAGGTACATAATAATAAGCGAGGATAAAATCAGATCAATTGGCCATCGTCACAAATTTACAAAGAATTAACCATAATGGTTTCCAGTGAAAAACGCGTGGAGGTTGAGCTGATAGAGTAAATTAGCAAAGCTATTAGTCCGTTACTGACAATAAATCAACCAAGACCTCACAAAATCCTAATGACATCGCTAGAGTCTTCAGTAAATATTTTGTATACTTGAATTCTGACAAAAGTTCGCTAGATATAAATACTGCAACTGATAAACGACTAACCTAAATAGATGGTTACCCTCTATATACATATATGAAACCTGTATCAGAATATGAAATGAAAAAAAAAAAACAATAAAATCATTAAATAATACTAACTAGGAAGGAACTAAGAAGGGTACGCCGAAATATCAACAGGAGTAATAAAATCTTGCGTACATGAGATCACTCCTGTACTAACGTACCTGATAAACTTATCATTTGAACAAGGATGTTACCCAAATATGTTAAAATATTCTGTAGGAAAGCATTCGTATAAAAAAGAGACTTACAAACGTAAAATAAATAACTATCAACCGATAACTCTAATACCGGCGATATCCAAAGTATTTGAGAAATGTATGCTTTAACAACTTACAAAGTTTTGCTTTAAATACGATATCTTAAATAAGGAACAATATTAGTTTAAAAAAAATAAGTGGACTACATAAGCTATTTCCTCTGATTATAGACATTAAAAAAAAACAGATGAAAAAATTGACTACTGCTTTATATTTTGACCTCAGGAAAGCTTTTAACTACGTTTCATATGACATTTTAATTAGAAACTTAAATACCATAGATATGAGAGGTTTAGCTCTTGAGTGGATCTCTTCATTCTTAATAAGAAGACAATAAAAAGTTCTAATAATAAAACTTGACCAAAAAATTAAAATAAATCATAATACGTCTGATTATAATAAATAAATAATAAATCAGAGGTTCCACAGGACTACATTTTGGGTCCTTTTTTATCTTTAAAATATATTAATGACGCATGTATATCTTGCGACGTCCAGTTTTGCGGTCATCTGGAGGAGAAGGCTAAGATAGCTTCCAAGAAGTTAGGAGTGCTCAATAGGGTGAGACGATATTTCATGCCAGAACACCGCCTGAAATTATATAAAGCCCAAGTCAGGCCGCATATGGAATACTGTTCTCACCTGTGGGCAGGAGCGCCACAGTACCAACTCCTTCCGTTAGACCGCATTCAAAGTCGGGCGGCTCGAATTATCGATAGTCAACGCCTTACTGTCCGACTTGATCCACTGAGGCTGCGCAGAGATGTTGCATCTCTGTGCATCTTCTACCGAATTTATCATGGGGAGTGTTCTGAGGAATTGTTCGGATTGATACCTGCTGCTGATTTTCACCACCGTACAACCCGCCACAAACTAAAGTTTCATCCCAATCATCTGGACGAGTGGCGGTCTTCCACCGTGCGTTTTTCAAGGCACTTTCTTCCACGCACAACCATTCTTTGGAATCAACTTCCAGCAGCAGTATTTCCGAACCGATACGACAACATAACCTTCAAGAAAAGAGTATATTCCTTTTTAAAAGGCCGGCAGCACACCTGCAATGCCGCTGGTGTTGTGGGTGATCATGGGCGGCGGTAGTCATTTACCATCAGGTGAGCCGCATGCTCGTTTGCCCCCTGTGTTGTAAAAAAAAAAAAAAAATGTAATGCATCATTAATGTGTATCATTTGCCAATGACATATCTATTGTTGTCGCATCCGAAAATCATAAGAATAATGAAATTATAAATAATCAAGTTAACATTAATAATAATATTGAATCGGTGGTTGTTTGGTTACAAAACAACAATTTACATACAAATATGTCTAAAACCATCAATATACATTTTAATACTGGTAGACTTCAATTATACAGATTAGAAATAAAATATAAGAAGGAAAAAATATTAGGAGTGAATCACAAACAATTTCTAGGTGTTTATATGAACATATAGACAGAGAGATTAACTGGCATACTCAAATAGAAAAAGTATGTAATAAGCTAGACAGTTTTGTGTATGCCTTAAAAAGAATTAAAAATGTAATTGATTCGAAAATAGCTATTACCACATATCACGCGTATATTGCGTCTGTTATTAGATATGAGATAATTTGCTGTGGTAATACTTTGAATCATCATTGTCACCAGAGGGACACTTTGTACGAAAGTCGATTGCTTGGGTATCTCTGTCCCATTCGTGTTTCTACCGTGAAGCAGTTGTGTTTGCATGGCTGATATGGCGTGAATTTACAAGGTACAGAGGAATAACATCTGAGTCCTCAGGAATGGCAACGCATAGGGGGTAACAGTATACTCTGTTATGTCCATAGTACTGCTCATGTCTATAGGTGACGGTTACCACTTTCCATCAGCTGGGCCGTCAGCTTGCTTGCCATTCTAAGTTGTATAAAAAAAGACATTATATCAGCGTTTAACTATTCATTGCTGAATATAAGTCTCCCCCTTCATGAGGATTTTGCCAATAGTTACCACGCTTGGCAAACGGATTGGCAACCACAGTTAGGCTTTAGAGATGTTTTAAGAATGACGCTGCTACCTATCCCTCGCCCTCCCTTAATCACCTCTTACGACACTCAAGGGAAAGGAAGGGGTCGCGTTCTATGCCAAGTCTACACGATGGAATACGGGATTAAACCCGTAAAATAGTAACAAATAACTTTCCATCCATAATTTTCTTTAATTTTTTTTTGTATTCATAGTAGAAGTAAGACCTAATTAGACGAATACCGACGATGTATTTACTATACATTTTTACTAGATAAATCTTATATTATTTATTACGCCAATTACCTAAAGATATTCACAAAGTCAATAAAAAAGTATGAAGCTCATCCAACCATTATTCATTAGGTACCAATGTTATCTATATCTCAAGTACCTACCTTGATCTCAGTTATCATGAAATTATATATTTCCGCTGATTTATCAAACAATTATATAGATCAAATACTAACTATTGGCTATTAACAGTAAATATTATTTTCAGTTATCTATCAGTAGACAGAACAGTTATGTCGCGAGATAACGAGGTGTAAGGTACAACTCAATTGTTTACACAGCCGGCTGTTATAGAAAATATTGATTAATTCACAGGATTCCGTGGATTTAAAAATGAAGCACATTTGTTTATGCGTGACACAGTGTTACCATATTAAAACTGCACTTTTTTTTTATTGATAGGGAGGCAAATGATCTAAGGTTTTTAGATAGAATAGGTTTGGATCATAACTGTAATCAGTTATGTAATGTACATCTATAAAAATGTTATAACGTTTACTTATAACTCAGTGTTAAATGATGTTTACAATGTAAGGTTGGCAAACTGCGTATTGATAAATTTTTGTATTGTTTTCTATTTAATGGTTCATTTCTGTTTGCAAACTGTTATTGTAACTTATAACAAATAAACAAATTGTTCGCCATATGAATAGTAACTACCCTCGCTTCAACACTTACAATACAAGGGTTTTTTTTTAATAAGTGATAATGGAATGGTAACCCTACCTGCACTATCGGTATATACTGGCAGCTCACCAGTAAAGAGATAGCATATGCAGATGGAAACAGAATAGTTAGCCCATCCTGACCAATTCAACTAGAAATAACCACGGTGTTATCCAGAAGTAACCGCGTGAATGTCGACCTGATAGTATTGGTAGTTATTGGGCTAATTGATCCCATTATTAATAATCCCTTTCCTATTATATAAATAAAATTACTAATGTTCTCAGCCTTTATATTGTATCGTATGGAAAAAGCCTCGAAAACGAGCCTATTCTACGCACTAGCACACATAATATAATATTATACTAGTAAAGGAAGAAATGAGCGCAATGTACGACCAGATGATGAAAATATGAATAAATTCCAGTTCTTTGGATATACGGTGATAGAATGATGAATTATGCTTATACTTACTTATCAATTGATTAGTTGCAAATTGATATGAATGAATTAAAAGTACCCATAACCTGCGAGCGTGTATAAAAAGATTGATGAATGTAGAAGAAATGAAAGAAATCTGTTTGAATCGAAGCATTTGGCGTTCCATTATTTCTGTCTACCCTAATGGGAGAAAGGTGTGACAGGTATGTATGTATGATATGAATATATTAGGATTAACTATTAGACTTTCCATCATGTCCGAACTAAAACCCAATGACGAAAGAACACAAAGTGTATGTCATCGATAAATACATTATCTAAAACTACCGTCTGGCTTATAAAAATTATTTTACTTATTTACTACGTAAATTATTTTGTTTCAATAGAGAGGTAGGTAATGTCTGAAATCGAATAATTAAATCTATAAATCATTTTACTAAGATAACAACATAAGTCACATCTATCTCCAAGTACATAATTTAAAAAGTAAAGCAGTTTTGCTCATTCAAACATCTCTATTTCCTATATTATTTACAGGAACGGAAGACAGATAACGGTTTTAAACAATATAAATGGATATATACTCAAAGAGTATAAATATAAAATCGACTCTTACGCTTGCCATCTCACCACTATGCATTGATATTTTTATCTCGTTTCGTTGCAGGCAACTTAGTAATATCGTATCCCTCGACCACAACCATTCAGTTGTCGTTAAACTTCACTGATAATGTTTTAAGTTTTATATATTTTAACTCATAAACAGCTGTAGTTCGTACGTTTATAAATATATCAGTGTTTATTATTTTATACAGTATAATAAATGCTACATATGTACGTCGCGTAATATTTATAAATTCGCGTGTTCACAACAGTGCAAATGTGGCTTCGAAGTACTTCACTGGTTTCATGAGCACATTTATAATATTTTTAAATAAAAATAATGAACTTAAATGGTACTTAAGCAAGTGGTGTATCCTCAAGTGATTTTTAATTATTTATTTTTGTACAAAATGCCTAAGCAACGTTCAGTTGTCAGTTTGGATTTGATTTTGGAAGAATTGGGTGATTTTGGTAAATACAATATATTGAACTACGCATTTCTTTTGTTCCCCGTCTTTTTGGCGGGAATGTATGGATTTGTCTACGTTTTCGAAGCTCCAGATATAAGTTACAGGTATGTTTATGTATGTATTTAGTTTTAAATTACACAGCTATATATGTCATCATCATTATCATCGTATCAGCCGTTGTCTATACACTTCTGAACATAGGCCTCCCACATAGACTGCCATAAAGAACGGTCCTGAGCCACCTGCATCCACTGACACCTTGCAATGCATTGGAGGTCGTCACTCCATCTAGTGGGGGGTAGTCATACACTGCGTTTACCTGTAGGGGATAGCTGTTAGCTACATATATATACATTTTGTTTAATATGTTTATTTATATATCTTCACGTAGGTTAAACAGAAGAAAACAGCTGCTAAAATATCTATTCTTATATGTATATATAAAATATCTCATTGCTTCAACGCTATACGTGATACATATGGTAATATTTATTTATTTAATATAATATTGACATAAACAAGAATTCAAACTATAAATATATGAAATCACAATAATTGTTTTGATGATTTTCCTAAAATTTTTGCATCATATACTACTAACGATTCCTCTCCGGCTTGTGAGTGTGGATAGAATTTTCAAAAATAATATATAGTAATATATAGCCTACAGTACTCGCTGACATTGTAACTTCTTATTAACAGACTTGAAAAAGGACGAGATTTTCGATTTAATTTTACTCTTTATATTTATTACCTGAGCACTCCCTCAAATGTAAACTAATTTGGAAAATCCTTTTTTTATCTAAAGGGATATACTTACAGATTGTTATATAGAATTTTCATTAAAATCCTTTTAGTAGTTTAGTTTTAAAATTAAATAGTTTCACCACAATTTTTATTTTATAATTATTTTTTATTTTATAATTAGCTGGCTGGAGAAAGATGCATGAATTATTTGTACCGACAAGAGGAAACTCTTAAATGAAAAGAAAAGAAGAATTCAAATGTTATTATTATTTATTTTATTAATTTCAAAATTATAATGTAAATATTGACTTGCCATTGTGTGACGAAAATTGTTACATTGGTTAATAAAGAAATATAATATTATATATAATCGAAGTTGATTTTTTTTAGTGGAACACAATTTAGTTATCGGTAAAGGAGTTTTTGAGTTTATTCATTATAAACAAACAATCAAATATTTCTTCTCTATAATATTAATTTAAATAAACATCATCCGATTAGTTCACTATATTGAGTACAATGATCATACACAGCTGCTTCGTACTTAATGTATGATCTAGTTTTATAAATCGTATTTATTTTAAAATTTTCCATCCATACAGCTTACCAGAGGGAGACTTTGTACAAAAGTCGATTGCTTGTGTACCTCTGTCCCATTCGTGTTTCAACCGTGAAGCAGTTGTGTTTGCATGACTGTGTTTCGGTTTGAAGGGTGGGATATGGCGTGAATTTACTGGGTATAGAGGAATAACACCTGAGTCCCCAGGAATGGCAACGTATGGGGGGTATCATTGGTGAAACAGTATACTCTGTTATGTCCATTGTACTGCTCATGTCTATAGGCGACGGTTACCGCTTTCCATCAGGTGGACCGTCAGCTTGTTAGCCATTCTAAGTTGTATAAAAAAAAACGAAAGAAGTCGTACGATGACGGAGTCAGAATAAAATTAGTCAACATGCCATTCTATCTCTAATACATTGTAAGAGGAGAACCGATTGTGATATATATTGTACATATATACATATATCCTACGGGTTCATTCATTCTTCAGTCCATCTCACATCATCATCATCATCATATCCGCCTTTATTTGTCCACTGCTGAATGTAAGCCTCCCCTTGGGGAAGTTTTTCCAGTAGTTGCTACCGATTAGCAACCGCAGTTAGGCTTTAGAGATGTTTTAAAAGAGACACTGCTGCCCATTCCTCGCCCACTTTTAGTCGACTTTTACGACACCCACGGGAAAGGAAGGGGTGGCCTATTCTATGCCGGGGCCATATGGTTAAAAAAACTATAGATACTGTATATGAAACAGTGCAAGAGAAAGAAAATTTAAAGCAGAAATTAGGACAAGCAACATGGCGAGTGTGGTAAAGTTACCTAATACTCATCTCTGTGAAAATTTTCTTACGGATGGGGTTTTTTTTTAAAGTCAATGGAGTAATAACCTCGCATGTAGTATTTGTGCGCTGACGGATTATCAGTGAAGGATAATAAGCGATAATGATGATACATGCCATTTGGTTTATCACCACAAATTGACCGAGATTTACCTTCGGCTGTTTATAGAAGATACCACGTGGAATTCTTCTTAAAAAGATATTATTATTATATCAGCCGTTAACTGTCCACTGCTGAACATAGGCCTTTCCCATAAGAAGAGTTTTGTCAGTAATTGCCACGCTTGTCAAGCGTGTTGGTAATCTTTGGTAGTTTAAAAGGGAGGTTGCTGTCCATCCCTTTTCCTTTAGTAGTTTAAACACCCAAGGGAAAAGAAGGGAAATAACGCATCATTAATATTATCATTAATGATCCATTCCTCGATTTCCTTTAGTTCTCTTTGTCGCCTTTTAAGATAGGTGCAAAGACACCTATTCAGTAGAAGGAAACAGAAATTGGGAACGCTGTGCACTATTTAAAGCAAACAACCGGAATAAGTACATAATAAAATATTAGTTTAAGATTCTGATAATCTGTAGATAGGGCGTGTCAGTGATCCGAAATTCTAAGATCGAATCGTACCCTAAATTCCTCTATTTTTAAAAATGTATTTAAAATTAAATCATTTAAAAATTGATTGTCACTGCAAATTCTTCGTAATATTATCATTAAAAAATCACGAGATGGCGCCACATAATCCGAATAACCTACATTCTTGATTATCGAACTGCAATATTCTACCCTATATTGATCCCAACTACCGATTGCGGACGAATATAAATTTTAACAAAATATAACATTTCGTCGCCTCGATTAAATCCAACTTTCAATAAATTTATTCGTGCTAAAATCAGCTCGTTAATTTAGAAGCTAAGACATATATAGACACAGACTAAGACTGTAAACTAATATCATTTCTTTTTTAACGTCATCGATTAATAATCTTATTATGGTGCAGTTGTACATATAATTGTATCATGGTATTATGATAGAATAATGAAATTTCAAATTCGATTTCCGGTTGGAACAATATAGATAATAAACTTGTCTGAATTTTTTCGAATGTTGATATACCTTTAGATATCTGTTGCCTGGTTCTTCGTTATAAAGGGTAATTTAAAGATCAGGCTATGTGTTTCTGTGAAAAAGAAAGAAAAAGGACAAGTTTTTTTTTTTTATACAACTTAGAATGATAAACAAGCTGACGGCCCACCTGATGGAAAATAGTAACCGTCGCCTATAGACATGAGCAGTACAATGGACATAACAGAGTATACTGTTTCGCCCACGATACCCCCCATGTGTTGCCATTCCTGAGGACTGAGATGTTATTCCTCTGTGCCCAGTAAATTCACGCCATATCCCCCCCTTCAAACCGAAACACAGCCATGAAAACACAACTGCTTCACGGTTGAAATACGAATGGGACAGAGGTACACAAGCAATTGACTTTTGTACAAAGTCTCCCTCTGGTAAGTTCAATAACTAATCAAATATATTTTTGAATAATCAAAATACTATTGCCTGCATACAGGCAATGTCTTATACAGTATAAAGTCAGCATTTGAAGCCTTTGTCTCGGCTCTAGTCACGTTGCTTTGGCGTATCAAACATGACACGTGCTGTGTAGAGTGGATCTGCATAGTTAGAGACTAAAGGCATTATAATACCTCTGCGTCTACACAACGACGCTATAAGCCTGCGAACAAGAACTGATACACTGTACCTATAGCAATAATAAAATTGTAAACTTAAACATTACTGGCGACTACTGGCAAAACGACTCTTATTGGCGACGTTACGTTCAGCAGTTCAACTCTGAAGATCCGTCCGTATTAACATTTTTTTATGCAACTTAGAATGGCAAACAAGCTGGCGGCCCACCTGATGGAAAGTCGTAACCGTCGTCTATAGATATGAGCAGTATCATGAATATAACAGTGTATACTGTTTCGCCCATGATACACCCCATGCGTTGCCATTTCTAAAGACAAAGGTGTATTCTTTTGTACCCTGAAAATTCACACAAATGTGACATAGGTGCCCAACCAAAAAATTTTTGTACAAAGTCTCCCTCTACTAAAGTTTAATTATAAGTAGTAATTATCTAATCAAAATCTTTTTTTTATATTTCAGATGTCAAATTAACAATTGTGAAAATACAGAAAATAACAGTTCATGGTTAACATATGCGATACCGAAAGTGAAGGATGAATATTCGAAATGCGAAAGATACCCATTACGTGACAATGTAACGTGGAGTAACGCGACGTGTACGGACAGTGTATTCGATGCCTCGAGAACAGAAGAGTGCTCCTCGTACATTTATAGCGACGAAGATTCGGTCGTGAAAGATGTAAGTAGACGAAATTATTTTCAACAATGTTGTCATATCATTCGTTGAAATTTAATTTTATTGTTAGTATCTTATAAGAAATACTGAGCAATTAACGCTGAACTATAATTGAATGACAAGTTAAGGACTTTGTACAAAAGTCAACTTACAAACGACTGCCTCTGTTCCATATGTGTTTCTACCAATAACTATGTGTGGCTGTTTTGTGGCTGCATAATTTGAATTTATAGGGTACAGAGAAATAGCACCTAAGTCCTCAGGAATGGCAACGCATGGGAGGTATCATGGGGGAAACTGTATACTATGTTATGTCCATGGTACTGCTCGTGTCTATAGGCGACCGTTACCACTTTCCATCAGGAGGGCCGTCTGCTTGTTTGCCATTCTAAGTTGTAGAAAAAAAATATCAAGCTTGAAATAAGTTACATGTAAGATGTGAAGTCTACACGCCAGCTACGTAGCTTCACAAATTATTCTAAATGAAATCATAGATAGTTACAGAGTTCATCTCTTCATTTCTTCATGAGTCATCGACTGAACTCGATTTGCAGTGAAATGAAATCGCAGCTGACGGCGAATATACACTTTATTACATTGCATTAAAGTCTCTATTCCCTTGTTCTTATCATAAAAATCATATTTCATGTTACTTTCAATACAATATATCATAATAATATTCAATATATAGTTAAATAAATACTTATTATTTTTTTCTTCAAAAGATTACAATAGTACACTTATTATAGATACAAAAAATAATCACAGTGAGAAAACAATGGGCGGCCTTATCGATCTCTTCCAGGCAACCTTTGAATGGAGAGAAGTAGTTATAAACCATTTGATCGGAGGCACGAAAATTCTATCATATATTATATATACTATGTAGTAGCAGTGCGATGTTAAGACATTGAGAGCCAAAATCACTGTTATAATTTTTCACAGGTGATATCATGATGAATACAAATAATAATTTCACAAATATGATAATGAATTAAATGTAGCCATCATTTCCATAATAATAATTAGATGAATCGAATACGACAGTATTTTTTTTTATACCTCAAGGGTGCCTAACAAGTATACAACTCGTCTGATGCTAATAGGTCACTATAGCATATGGACGCCTGCAACACTAGGATTGTCACGTTGCCGACTTTAAGAAAATACAAGAATAATAACACACAAGTGTCATATTTTAAATTTTATTTAATTCTGTATCCAAACACAATAAACAAAAATATTTATCTATCTCTCTAATACAAAATACAAATAGTTTATTAGAATAGTTTCATTGTTTTCAATCTATTCTTTATAAAAATTAAATGAACATAAAAATATAAATGCAATTTACTAAACTATCGAGACGCTTTTAATAAGAGTATTTCGCTAAAAAAAAACTACATTAATAAGTTAATAAATATTTATCTTCATTCTGAAGCAAATCTTTTAATATGCCTTCCATTCGTGATAAATGAGAGTTTTTAAATATAATTTTTTTTATATGTTGTTGTATTCATGCTTTCCTGGGTGGGTGTATTGGAAGACTGTAAGGCTCACCCAGTGGATGTAATAAATAAATAAATAAATAAACTGGATCGGATGGAGTTTATTGAATTAGATAATTTTTTATAGCTTATCTAACAAGAATAGTGTTAATTAATGTTTCATTTCAATAAATGTATAAAATGATAAAACGGTTAAACATGGAAAACTTTACAACTTTCGTATATTTCTTTATCTTAAGACAAATTTGTCTGAGATGATACGTTCATAAAACTTAGTTATCTCGATAGCCCTAATTATGTATTTGAATTGTCACTCATATAGATAATAGGCTATATAGACAAGACTAATGGCTGGGCTAAATGGCTTACATGTTCTTATTGCCCAACGAGAGATATTAATATTTTTTTATTTTTTATTTTTGCGCATAACTTCGTCCGTATTCATTTGGAATACGGACCACCAGAAAGAGACTTTGTACAAAAGTCGATTGCTTGGGTACCTCTGTCCCATTCGTGTTTCTACCGTGAAGCAGTTGTGTTTGCATGGCTGTGTTTCGGTTTGAAAGGTGGGATATGGCGTGAATTTAAAGGGTACAGAGGAATAACATCTGAATCCTCAGGAATGGCAACGCATGGAGGGTGTCATGGGCGAAACAGTATACTCTGTTATGTTCATGGTACTGCTCATGTCTATAGGCGACGGTAACCACTATCCATCAGATGGGCCGACAGCTTGTTTGCCATTCTAAGTTGTGTAAAAAAAAAATAGATCTCTTCTAGATGGAGTATCATTTCTAGCTGATTTCAAGATAAAAATACATCAGATTTTTAAATTAAATTTGCAGTACATACGGGTACTGAGATTCTTACGTTCCGCCTTTTCGTCGCAATGCCAGGGCCAGGGGTTCGCTCTCGCATTCAACCGTAATCTGACACCTAAGAAAATATTGATAACTTATGAACTTTGTTCCATAAAGCTCATAACTTATCGATAAACATTGCGATCTTTATATTACGTGTTAAATATTTTTAACTTATCATTTAAGAATTTTCATTTGAGTTCGAGTACAGTAAAATAAATGTCTACAAAAATATTTAGATAGATGCTCTTTATTGTTTCCTCCAAAAGATTACAATAGTAAACTTATTATAGATACAAACAATTACAAGCATAATTTAATATATTATATATTAATAATTTAGATATATTATCTTGTTCTACATTAGACCTAATTTATTCAAAACATTCCGCTGCCCAATTCTAAATAATATTATACCAGTATGTCAAACAAAATAAATAAGATAAAAATTTCTTTACAATCCTTCAATAAAACCACAAAATAAAAATAACTATATCTAGTAATACTATAATATATTTAATATAGATATAAAAATTCATACTTTTATATTAATACCTAATAAAGATAAAATAAATAGACCATCATATCACAGCGATATAAACTCTCAAATTGAGGTATGCTTGCTATATAAGTACACTGTACAATGTAGGATTTTTGTTAAATACATCAATAAAATACATAGAAAACGTTCGTACCGAACATCCAATACAAACAGTATACCGTAATATGTACACGTGATTACAGAGATTTATTTATATTTTACTGGCATCGAACCCACAACTGTCGGAAGTTGCCTTCCGCGGTCATGAATATCAATAAAACTACTTAATTTACGTATAATATAATTTGTAATACGTATGAAAAGTTCGAAATTTGAGGTTAATTGATCAATCTGTTCTCTCCCCAATTGTATTTACAATTTTATTGATAATCATATTACCATCCTAAATAAATATCATAAAGCCAATGTTTGGAAAATTAATTTGTTCAATCTATTAAACAATACAAAGTTTAATAATAAACTTAACCTAATTTATTTAACATTCTTTCAACATATCAAATCATTACTACTATACATGATTAAAAGTACAAACTGTTTTATATGCTTTTACATTGATAACACACTCGTAAATACTAAGTAGGATTTGTAGGATAGGATAATAATTTTTGGGCAATAAAAGGCCCATTGTTAGAATTAACGTCTCCGATTAACGTGAAAACCATCGCGGTTAATTCTTGTTGAATTTGTCACAATGAGTCAAGTAATCTACATTCATTCTCAAACATCATCAACAGATAGCGTAGTGATAAACCTACTATAGATCTGCTGATTTATACTAATTAAATAAGTCGATCTTAACTATGATATACGCTATACACAGTTTTAACAATAATTATAGTTCGATTTAGGTTGCCAGGATTGGAAAAGGACTTTACTTGGAACAGTACACAATGCCGCCCTAATTATCTCGTTGCCTCTGACTGGAGTTGTGTCAGATAGGTACGGAAGAAAGTTGGCATTATCGGTGGTGTCTCTTTGCAATGGCATAATGGGACTGATCAGATCATTTTCCGTGAACTACGAGATGCTGTTGGCGTTTGAGTTTCTAGAAGCAGTTCTAGGGGCTGGAGCCTACAGTACAGCCTTTGTTTTTGGTAAGTTTCATTATATACTAATAACTACTATAGTAGTAACTACTCGCTGCTTGTCTTGCCTGTAACATCGTTTACTTTCTAAACCTTTATATTTTTCTTTGTAATTTAGAAACTTTACAACTGTAACTCTGTAATTTATAAATTCAAATTTCTTCTTTCCTCCTTCAACCACAACATTCTTCAACCGTCTTCAACAGAAGACGATTGAAAAGTGTAAAAAACCATTTTGTGCAGAGTTTATGTGATTTATAAATGAAATCAAGTCTTTGAAATTAATTTAAATAAATTAAGAAAAGAAAGTTTTAAATAAGGTGTTCGTATTTGTTGTTTCAGCTATGGAACTGGTAGGACCCAAAGGCAGAGTATTTGGAAATACTCTAATAAATTTAATACACGTTTTTGGTTTGATGACCCTATCAGGCCTGGCCTGGTGGTTGCAGAACTGGCGACACTTACTACAAGTGATTTACACGCCGGCGCTACTAATATTCTCATACCTCTGGATTCTAAACGAAAGTGTTCGATGGTTTCTTAACAAAGGCAAAAATGAGAAAGCCGTTAATATACTGCATAAAGCCGCTAAAATGAACAAAGTAGTTTTATCTGAGGAACTTTTAGCACCATTATATGAACTTAACAAGGTAACAGCATATCACGATACAACAAAAGCAAGTGAAACACATAGAAGTGAAAGAATTAAGGAATCCTCGTCTTTAATGCAAGTGGTAAAATCTAATGTAATGAGAAAAAGAGTTGCCATATGTTCATTTCTGTGGGTAACATCTACATTTGTGTATTGTGGACTTACAATTAATTCAGTTTCATTAGCTGGAAATAAATATATTAATTTTATACTAATAGGAATTGTAGAGATACCTGCTAACATTGTATGCCTGCTAGTGTTGGATAAATTTGGAAGAAAGAAAACATTGATCTCATCATATTTCCTAAATGCTTGCTTTTGTATCGGCCTATCTTTTTTTTCCAAAGGTAAGTTTTAGTGTAATGTATAGGTATTCCTGTATATTGAACATCTAGTTGATTAATCAGCATGATACTGGTTTAAATAGAAAAATACCATTTTATATATATATATATATATATAAACCATTCGATGCAAAGATAAAAATTATAATACTAACCTAAAATAATCTGACCCAGTCAAACATTGATATAAATATTTTCGTTAAATAAGGTATTTATGTCAATATTGTGTAAACATTTTTTTGTTTATCTTGTGTGAACTGACTTTCATATGAGTACTTCGCTTGACCTTCTAGTATCTCATTCATGAATTACATTTTTATCATATCTTCAATATTATTTATAATTTTATATACTCTTTTCGAGATATATCTCCAAACGAGATTTGCTACTACACCGATATATCCTTTACTTTTTTTTTTTATTCAAGTTCGTATATGTTTGACTTCTAATGCTCTCTTTTTAAATAATCTCATATTTAGCATTAGTCATTTCCCAAAGAGGGTTGACGTAAAGCAGGCAGCCGGTCGTAAAACTATAAGCTAAATCTTTTTGTAATATGTTAAAAAACATATTACGCCGACCCCAAACAATAATTAGGATAAGGGTAGGAAGATGATGATGATATAGCATTAGTCACATCTTAAAACTCAAAGATTATGATGACATAACACTTTCGATCTATTTCCCTCCAAGCTATTATAAGATCTAATAAGATTCATCTGATAGAACGTCGTATCTACCGCCTATAGATAAATTAGTAACATGGACATCATTGACTGAACTGTAACGCTTTTTTTTTATACCACTGAGGTGGCAAACAAGCATACGGCCCACCTGATCGTAAGCGGTTACCGTAGCCTATGAACGCCTGCAATACCAGAGGCATTACTCGCGCGTTGCCGACCTTGAAGAAACCTCTTTACCCCCCTTTTGAAGAACCTTATATTACTTCTCATACATATGTTGTTCCTGAGAACTGAGTTGTTATATTTCCGTACTCAGCAATTTCAATAACATAATTCCACCTTTCAACATAAAACAAAAATAAATACATACGACTGAAATAAATACGGATGGTATAGACGTATTTATCCTTTGTGATATAAAAAAAGTATAGATTTTTTGTAAAAGTCTGTCCCTGATAATTTCTTGTACTTCTTATCTATATATCATTAAGTTTCTTTATAAATATATCTCTATGTAAAGTTCCCTACGAGATAAGCTGAAATGACTAAATTACAAAAGCTTTTTATTGTTACATAAATTTTTTCTTGCATTGCTTCATTCATTTTGTTCAATAATTGAATTTCTCTTTACACAGATCAAAAATGGTGGTCACTGGGTTTTTACTTGTGTGCTCAATTCTTTATAACAATGTCGTATAACTGCATCTATATTTATGTATCAGAAGTGTTTCCAACTTGTGTAAGACAATCCTTACTGGCCGTTTGTTCATCAATAGGAAGAATTGGTGCCGCTTTGGCTTCACAGACGCCTCTTCTGGTAAGTAATTAATAAGCATCAGTTTGTTTATATACTTTTTTAGAGTTCCGTAATATGGAACTCTTGTAGGATTACTCGCGTGTCTGTGTGTCCGTCAGATAAAGCCAATTTATTCCGAAACTACTGGATCGACTGAGTAGAAATTTGGTACGTATATTTAAGAGTCGCCGTGTAGATTCCGGCATAGAATGGGCCACCCTTTCCTTTCCCAAGGTATTACAATATCGTAAAAGGCGACTGAGCTTATAGCGGAGGGATGGACAGCAGCGTCCCCCTTAAATATCTGTAAAAGCCTAATTGCGGTTGCCAACCAGCCTGCCAAGCGTAGCAACTACTGGCAATACTCTCCTTGTGGGGAAGGCTTGTGTTCAGCAGTGGACAGTTAACAGATCGTTATTATTATAATAATTAATATTATTATAATAATAATAAATGTAAAAGAGATTTAGACAAAAGGAGACTGTATGCACAGGTGGGTCGTCAGCTTGTTTGCCATTCTACGAGTAAAATGCATAAAAAAGGTCTGTGACCTAATAACAGACATGTAATGTAAATAAATGAATTTTGTTTATTAAAATTCACTTGAGAGCAAGATAATATCTAATAACCTATCTACCTATATACTTGTACGTATCACTTCTTCGTGTAGTCTCTTCCCGTTAAAAAGATATTATTACCTATTAATAATATCTTCTTTGTACCTATTATTACCACATAAACTGCATAACTTGGCGTAGTGTTTTACTTCTTCTATCTTCTGTACTAACGTGTACTTCATTCCCCTAATAGTATCTTGTAACAGCATGCAAGATTACTTTTGACGCATTCGAATTCATATAAATAGAAAACACGTCAAATAAATGTCAAAGGGTCGGCAACGCGCACATTGACACCACTGGAATTGCAGGCGTCCATAAGCTACAGTGACCGTTTACCATCAGATGGGCTGTTTGTTTGTTCGCTACCTTTGTGATATAAAAAAATTAGTATATGTTAGGTATAGTAGGGTCCATTTGATATTTATTCGATATAGATAGATAGATAAATAATTTATTTACAATTTATTCACTTACAGCACACAAACAGCAACAGACACAAATGCAAAGTGAAAAAAGATAAAAAAGATACATGTACAAAAAAATTTAAAAACAAAACAAAAACATAATCAGAATGCATAAAACTAGTAAAATTTTTTTTTCTTCATGCGTGTGCCACAGTAATATCAAAGATTATCCCGCTGAAAACGAAAAGGGATAAAATGCATTATTTTTTAACTAGGCTACATTATATTTAACCACGGAATACAGACATTGAAGCCATATTTGTATTTTTTTTATACTATTTTTGTGACAAACTAGCATACGGTGCATTTGATGGTAAATGGGGTTACCGTAGCCTATGGATAAAAAACCTTAATACGCTCTTTTTAAAGAACCCCATGCTGTAGTCCCCAAGAAAAGCCTTGATAGGAAACTTATTCTACAACCTGAGTGTTCGCGGGAGGAAGCTCCTCTGAACCGCACTGTGCATGACCATTCTGGTTCTAAGGTGTGAGAACGGATTCCCTGCCAATTGCAAACGGTACAATGGTAAGAGGTACCTGTAGGTATCATATTGAAAAGTTCTTCAGAACACAATCCGTTATTTTTTTACTTTGTATGCTCCATTTTTTTTTTCATCTTTATAAGCGAGAAACTGCTACAGGTTTTTTTTTTCTTTTCCCAGGCTTACTACTACGCGCAACTGCCAGCGATAAGCTTTGGCAGTATGGCGTTAACAGCCAGTATTCTAGTATTTATATTACCAGAGACAATTAATTTACCTTTGCCTGATACCATAGAGGAAGCAGAATGGTTATCAAATAAAAGAAAAAACGTGAACCACCGTGAAAGATGGACTTGATGTGATAATGTATAATTTATAGTTTAATAAGAAATCAAATATTTTTTTTTATTAAGCGATGATTATAGAAAATTCATTCTACAATTTTTGTGAATCCTCCTATGCACTTATTTGTATTTTTAAGGTAGTATAGTAAAACTAAGAATTATTATTTTATTTAGCTAAAAATCTTATATCTTTAAAATCATTTATATTTATGACTACGGATCATTGCACTAAGTATGGCACGACACACTCTTGACTGATTTTAGCTTTAAATTCGACACTGAAATTTAAAGTCTAAGTATATTTCAGAGTTTTATTATATTTGTTTTTTTTTTTAATACAAATCATTTAGACTTTATTAGTAAGCAGAATATTTTATGAAATTTATTACAATGTCTATCTACGGTGTAAAACTATATCTATAACAATAAAAATAAAACATATTTCTCGATACATAAAAGTTGTGCACTCACGTCATCCGCATATATTTTCATCGGGCAATACTGTAACTAGTGAAGTGCCAGGTCAGGCGATTCGAGTACTCACTCGAATACCTACTAGCTACTTAAGTATATCGAATGCTCAATGTTTATAAATGTAATTAAATGATACACTATCTGTCGCGTAAATACTAGTCATGTCTTTATTATATATTTTTTTTTATTTCTACTAATTTTTACTCGTGATTACGTCCGCGTGACTGGGATATATTCATTGACCTGGATAAAAAGTACTACGTGTGTACCAAGTTTCATAGTGATTGGTTAAGCCGTTAAGGTGCTATGAGGTACAAACAAATAAATTCACTTTCATATTTTTAATATTAACTAGCTGACCCGGCAAACGTTAATCTGCCATATAAATATTTTTTTCTAGATAGGGACACCCTAATCACCTAACGGTATAAAATATATTTTACGATCTATTCTCATACCTATCAAATATACACCACCGTGACACGATTTTTTATATATAAGATAATACTTAAATTATTAAAGAAAACTTATTAAATAACTCATATTGTTTTTTCTTTAAAAGTAAAATTTTAAAATAATTATTACTCGAATCTAATCAAGTACTCGAATACTCAAACAAGTACATATCCGAGTCCTCTGACGCCGAATAAATATTCGATTATTTTTTTATCGAGTTCCAATATATTCGAATACCAAACACTTCAATATATCAACTTGAATACATCACTAACTGTAACAAGACTACTACTAAAGTCGTAATAAATCATGGGGTAAAGTTTTCTCTCATACACGTCTGTGTTTCTTAAGAGGTTCGTAGCTCTTAAGTGGTCTGAATCAAGCACGTTGATTTTGGCTTGAGTCAAGCTTGATTGATCGTCTACAGCATTTGTCTGATGCTTGAGTCAAGCACTAAGTGCTTGACGCGCACTTGGTATGTAATTATATTCTGTGGACCAATATTTTGCTATGAAAGCAATAAAAACCTGTCAGTAACACACTTTATATACTCGCATCTTGAATACTCTATAAATTAAATTAATTGCATTGGTCATAAAATTTATAAAAAAAATTAAAAGAAATAAAAATAAATGTCGTCTTGACCTGTGTATCAATCTACTTGATTAGTTTTTAATCGACTTTAAAAAAGGAAAGGTAGTTTAATTTTTAACTCAAAATAACTGGTTTTATACCTATAGTCGATTTTAATGAACGTTGTAAACGAGTCTGTTGTATCTGTTTAATCTAGCTTGAGACAAATGATAATTCTTATCTGGATAAGAAAAAATGGAATCAACCGGCCAAATCAAATATTACTAAAAATCTATATAAAAGGCAGATTTAATGCTATATAGCATTCTCTCCCAGTCAACCTTTGGCGAAACAGAAATGTAATTATGCGATGAAATTTTTTTAATTTTTTTTTTAGATAAACAATTACACGCACGTATCTATATTGGCTTACAATTCATAGTACATACAATGGAGAACTACTGCACATTATGATTACATAAATATACAAACATGAATACATTAAACAAATATTAGTTAAATAAATATATATCATAAATACGTACATACAAATAAAAATATAGATACATACACGATTATATAATACCAATAAACAACGATAGAGATTAAAGGTGATGAAGATGATGTACTGCTCTCACAGCCTCTTCAAAAAATATTCTTAGACTTTTTTTCCTAAAAGAGAGGTCTCAACAGTGAAGAAATTGGTAAAAAAAATCAAAACGATGTATAGAAATAAAGAGAACGAGAGGGTTGTTAAGTATATATATATATATATATATATATATATATATATATAATGTTATTAAAACTTTAATGCCTACGTTAAATGTATAAGATAATAGTAATAAAATTAAATTATTGCTATAACTATTTCACTAGGCACTTACAAAATAATTGTTATAACCGATGGAATCTTTTCCTTTCAACGTTATTATAATAATACCGATATTAAACTAAATGGTTAATAATAAAATTTCTTTCTTGTATTTGACACAACTGTTACTAGACACACACACACATACAACACACAATAGGCACACTAAAATCTATTTGAAAAATAAATTATTTTTCAAATAGATTCTAGTGGAACGATCTTAAGACTTCTTTAATCTTGGAGCCAACATACTTACTTGCACGCAAACAACTGATTTCTCTAGATAAAATATTGCGTACAGATTAGATACCCTTAGCTGAAGGACTTTTAGATAATAAATCATTTTGGCCATTCAGACGTGACTGAGCAAGAAAGCTCCGAACACTTAGGACCTTCGCAAACGAGGGACAATCCTCTAGTTGTTTGTCCTTGTCTGTCAAATTAACATATAGATTTGTACTTCGTAAAAATCCTGCCTCATTTTGATATCGGTTAAAAATTATAACAAGGCTATAGAATTAACTTCTCGACATATGTTATTTATCTAAATCATTATTAATTTTAATAGATAAAAAGAACTTTAATTCGTTAACCCCACTTCACGGGGGTGAAAGGAATGTTAGTATTGAGGATTAATAGTCCATTGCTAGTAGTATACACTGTCAGGTCGACCTTCTCGTCGTTACTCTTGGAAACCATTGTGATTGATTTATTGTTAAATTCGTCACGGTGAGTTAACTGACCTGCTTCATCCTCACCTATCATCCCTCATTGGTGACCCGCCAGTGTATACCAATAGCGCAGGCGGCGTTAGCATTCCATTATCGTCCATTAAATAAATCCACTTCATGTAAATATATGTATGTAATAAAATATCAATAGAAGGTGCTTTTTAATCGAAACATTTCGCATTTAGAACCGCTTCAAATTATTTCGCTATCCGAAGGAACCATAAATATTTTCCGATATCGCCCCGGTAACATCCGATACCACGCTACGTGTATAAAGCTCGCGTGCGAGTAAATAACTAAAAACGTAGCGATTAGATACCTACCTACCTACCAGCACAATTAAAACAACTATATTACATTGAAAGATACCATTTGTAAATTATAAACACAGACGTTCTATTTTTAAATGGTTTTCTATTTAAATTAAGAACCCATTTTAAACGTAATTACCTACACAGTTTTAAGACAAAGAATATCTTATGGGATCGATGACTAAATTTAAGACAAGTGGTGGAAATCCAAAGAATTACAATCTGAAGTTATTATGTCTATTAACACTCAAACCATGTGTTAAAGAGACAAAAAGAAGCATTTTTTCTGTAAACTAATCTTTGTAAAAATTAGTAGCACCTGACAATCTTGTCCATTCTTCTCAGCTGAAAGGTCGATGGACCGCTTTTAAGATCTAAAGGTCCGAATTTGTCGTCAAAAAGTATTAAAAATTAAACGGCAAATTTGTCGTCAAAATTATGTCCGTCTTCTTATCGGTCTTTTGTCTAAGACCTTTTGTTTTGTCCCAAGCTGTCAGTTTTTAATTGTAGAATGCCTTAGCGGCCAGCGAGAAAATCAGTCAAAGAGGCCGCAACATCAACTGAAATTGAATTCTAGAGTAGGCGATAGATTCATAAAAAATTACTATTCAAAAATGTCTATAATTAACTCTAACACGTCTGCTAAGCATTGCAACTACTGGCAAAATTACTATCAGAATTTCTTTAACATGTTTTGCGAAAAACACAACAAGATAACACACCTGCTACAAAACGTGCGTAACTGAATAACTGAATAGCAGTCGGAGATAGTGGCGGAGCACCAGTAATGATAGGTAGGAAGCAGGTTGTACAACTTAACTTGTTCATGGTAATATAATATTGCTAGTAATGGGGCTGTCAAATTACATTGTTAACAATCCCTTTCCCCCCAATATGATATTGTACAACTGTAATGTTCACTTTCGCACGCATTAAATAAAATAATTCTAATCAAGTAACCAGTGACATGGAATTCTGCAAAACTAGGTGTTTTGTAAAAGATATAGATAACAAAAAAAAATTTATTGCCAGAAAGACACATAGTTATAGCAGAAAAATTATATATAAAAAGTGTCTCATAACAGACAAAAGGAACTGGCTCAGCTGATGCTGTGAGTGTCCCAGTCTCCAGTGCAATGTGTACAGCTGTACAGCACTGGTTTTCTGCCAGACCCTCTCTTAACAAAAGTACAAATGGATACAACTGCAATTGCTAATTAAAAGAATTATTAATATATAAAATAAAAAAGAAAGAAAATTATAAGTTGAACTTACAACACAAAATTTATCATACTACACATACATGTTATTATATAATATTTTTTATATATGAAAATCATAATAGTACACCTTGCCTGCGCTAACGGGCATTGATACGGACGTGCAAATGCGGCCGAGCACCAGTGAATCAATGGGTGATTTATGAGAATGAAAACAAAAACACAATTAGCCCATCAATGATGAATAACATCAATAATTAATTTTTCATGATAATGTTCCATTGTTTTTTTTTTTTCAATAAACAACCGCGAAGCCAGTTCGAAATGGTTAAATAAAACCTTTTATTAGTTACCTCCTTGGGATGTTTTAAAGTAAAAGGTCCATCTATTTTTAAATTACCAGATACGAGTTTACATAGTAATTTATCTGGCCGCAGATACATTTTCATACATGTTAGCCGCTGCCCGTTATAAATACATAATATTTTTTATATATTACCTGCTATATTACACTAAATCATAAATATATAAACAAACCTTATTTTATTTTTACAAACCAATATAATGCTAATCCTTTTAGAATATATATATTTTTATATCTATCAGCTTCTATATTATACATACTGTAATACTCATAGTAGAACGTGCATACACATATATTTATGTTACATAATGACTCA